TACGCTTCATAAATCATAATAATTGTTGTCCAATTAAAACTATTCCATTTTATCTAACCATATTTTCTATAGAAGCACACAACAAATTCAATAAATATTTGTAAGCCTACTGGAAGCCCACATAATTGAAAGCAAATTTGCGCTTCATAAAACTATTAAACAAAATAATATGCAATAAATTCTTACAGCTCTGGTCGAGGCGGTAAACTATAAATTTTCTAGGGTAGTAGTATACTCCCTACCGCCCTTCCCAGCCTTATCTTTAGATGGCTTCTAGCCAAGGCATACGGTTCGGGTCAGTGTGCAACAATATTTGTTTAAACTCTGAGGTGAAACTGAGCAAATGTGTTGCAATCGCAAACAAAATCAGAAGGGGAAAATATATACTACTTGCTCAGAGAAATATATACTACTAGAATGCCACACCAAAAATAAAAAAAAAGTAATCCTCAGCTCATCAAGCATTTAATCATCCTAATCAAAGTCGGGCATAAAAATCACAAATATGGCAATCGTATATATTCTCATTCATTCGGGTTCCCATTCATGGTTATGGGTCATTATATGGTGGCAGGGGCATTTAATTTAGTTTTTTATAATTATTGCTACTTTATTGTATTGTTAAGCGATTAACGGGGCCAACGGCCAACAACCCATACGAGTGTACTATATAGTATGGTGGGAATTGCAAATCTTTCTTTCCGTCTTTTATTTTTGCTACCGTATCGTAAATGTAGTCACCTCATAAAAAGAATCGCCCCAACAACTCGAAATCAGAATCAGAATCAGATTTTGTTTTGGCATTCCGAGAGCACCCCCGCGCCATGTCAATCATATGGCACAGGTCGATCGAACTGATCGCTAGACTTTTCGGGCCTGAGACATAAGCAGGTGTCATCCCGCCCATCATGGAGGTGTACCACCTCCTTCTCTAATTTGTTGTTGTCATAATTTAGCTCGGGGACGATTTTGATTGACAATCGGATTTGGATGTCGGTGGGTCCGAGGTACCCGAGATATCGAATAAATGGAGACTATATGGCAGAGAGCTCCAACTGCCTGGCACTTCTCGTTCATTATGATATTATGGTTTATGGCTGAACAGGAAGTGTAGTCTGTAATTTATAATATCTCTTTGGGCTTTCTTTTACTTTGGGGTTTAATTTTATTGATAAATTAGATTGAGGCAGGACTGGGTATAGAAATAATGGTAAATATATTATTTTTAGTCCAAATATGGTCTTTCTTTCTGGTTGAAAAATCGTTATACTTTTCTGCACTTTTCTAAAAATTGCAACCAATTTAAACCTAATATAGTCCACAAAGTAAACACAAAATTTGTTTTTTAAACTTTTAAACCATGAAACTTGGAATTATAGTACTAGAAACTTTTCAAAACACATCTAACCAATAGAAATCTACAAAATACTTGTCCTTAAACCCCTTTAAAAGACCATTTCGATTTCCTACATATTTTAATTTATCACCCCAGCACGTAAGCTTGTAGTAACCCCAAAATAAGCTCTCAGAATCCCGGGGCGCCTCCAATATAAACTCGATACACCTCGAATGGTATATCAAAATATATATGAAGGTATATCGAACACAACCTATACAAATAGAAATACACATGTATGCCTATGGGCTTTGGCAGACCAACAAGACAAAAAATATTCTGGTTATTACCAATATCGAAAGCCAATACAAATAGCAGAGAAAAACCCAAACATGATTTTCTGTTTCTGTATTTGGACAACTAAGCCCAAAGTAAATGACACAATGGTAACAAGTCCGTGACAAACGGAAAGAGACAGCCAACTGGCCAGGGAGAGAGACAGAGTTGGAGGCAAACTATGCTAATCCCGCCATGTCAATCAACGGAAACCGACGCACTCCATATAGATCACAGTCCGAACCAAAATTTGACTTCATTTTTGACACATGGCATGGCCAGGGGATGGGTGTGTGGGACGAGTGTAACTGGAAGGGTAAATGTCATCGGTAAACATTGATAGTACTGATAAAAAAAAATATATAGAAACGAACCGTAGAACTCATAGTTCGACTCTGGCTAGTGGCCATTTTTAATGGCTTATCTCTGGGGCGGCCCCAGCCCTCAAAACACCAACCCAGTAATGTATCCTATCCGAGTATCTGAGAGATACAATAGAACTGTTTCCCATGTGCCAGTGAAAATAATAAAAATCCATGCCTCTTCTTTTGTTTTGTCTCTGTTTTTTTTTTCTCTATTCGATTATTTATGTGACTAGATATAAATTTTCTGTGCATATTGACACATTAAATCTCAATGTGTCAGGTGGCATTAGGTTTTTATGTCCCAACACAGGCAATGCTGAAAATCTACAGACAATCCCACTAAGAACTACTTCAGCCGATAGATAAATGTATTTCCTCGGAGAAATTATAATGGAAATAAATTATAAATAACGATAAAAACAATCAATAAAAGGGGAAATGAACTGCAATGCAGAAATAATAAGAGAAATATTTAATATATAGAATTTTTATACGATTTTGAAAAGCATTCATCTCTTTCTTTCTTTTTTGGAGAAACATGAATATATTTTTGTTAAAAATCAATTAAAAAACATAGAATTAGTGGCCAAAAAGTTAAACTTGGAACGTCAAATACAAGTATAGCTCATAACATAAGACTTTCTAAATATTTCATTCGATTTTTCAGAGAATTTCTTTAACAAACATTTTAAAGAATTTAATCTATATCTTACTTCCCCAGAATCATAGTCTCAAAAAGGTGGAAAACTAAAATTTCTTGCCTTTTAATAATGATTGCATAGATTTGATCGTAAATGTCGCTATTTAGTTTTTATTGGAAGTAATACTAATTTTTATTGGTTTATGGCCCTATATTGTTTTAATCAATATGCCCGTCGCAAACGCAACGGAATCGCTTATCAACAATGCTTTTGACGTTTTAGATAACACCGAAAAAAAGCGTTCTTTTTTTGTGGCCACGTTTTCCTATCACTGGTACCATTATTGAAGCAACAGAAAATAGAACTCGTACTCGTAACCATATAGAGAATCGTCCAAAAAGTGTTACGGGTAAAGGGGGGTAGTCAGGACTTATTGACAGGGCGGGCGTTTATTTGATTTCCCCTCGCTAATCTAATCGCAAAACCTGCCAGAACCACCAGCCATCCAACCAGCCCGCCAGCCAGCCATTGAAACAAAAGTCTAACAATTGTGGCCAAGAGAAGGGCGGAAAGATTGCTCGGGTGATGGTGGTGGTGGAGGTGGCTGTTTTATTGCCACACCCCGAAAGAAACTCAAGTGGGCCGCGCTTTGACGTGCCCTGCAACATGGCCCACAAAAAAATAAAGCATTGGGGGCTTTTATAATTCTATTAAAAAATCACGATCCCGAAATATTAGTCATTTGCGTACAGTGATCGCTGGGATTACTTTAGAAAGAGTTTAGGAATTCAAATTCAAATGTTGCATGTAATTTTCATTATATTGGATAATCATAAATTGTAATTACCGATAGCTTACTGTACCGCCAAAAAAGGGGTTATAAGGGGGTACAAGAAAATACTATATAAAGGAAAAAAAAGCAAACTCTTTGAATAATAAATAAAGCAAACTTAAGTTGCCTTGTCGGCTTGACCAGTTGGATTAAGCGACAACAACAGCAACGAGCGGCGGCGGCAATAAACGTTAATTGCATACCAACAGATTTTATGGGCTTAATGGATATCGAAGATATTGTCGATATCGTCGACATCGTCGTCGTCTTTCTCCTGCTTCTTGACATGGGCTCTGGTGGGGTCATAAATCGTAAATATGTTCAGGTGTGTTGGTCCCTCTCGGGGTCCCTCTCGGTGAGTGTGTCTGCATTGACATTTGCATTGCGAGTGCTTGTTTAATTTTTATTTTTTTTTTTTTTTTTTTAACCGCATAGTTGAAAGGTGTGGAAAAATGGTAAACAAATTGTAAACAAGAAACGAAGAAAATTTCACAAATAAAAAAGAGATTATACAATTTTTCAGAAAAGTGGGGGTTTTTCCTTAAAAAATTTGTAGAAAGGCTTGAAACCAAATCAAATATTAATTAACCCACACCTTTAAAAAGTGCTAATTAATGTGAGATATTTTCTAAAATATATATTATTCATTCTTAAGCTTGAAAATTTTTTTAAAATTCTTTAATAAAAAATTAAAACTTGATCAAACCTTTTATAAAGTTTTATAGTTAAATTGATTTACGATACAAAATTAGTCAATAGAATCGACCCGGACAGAGGCAAACAAACAGAATACACACGAGTCGGCTAAAAGGGCATACCCGTACCCCATACCCGTACCCATATACCCATAAATCAAGGCGTCGAATCTGGAATCTGGGGATCTCTCTCTCACTCTGGCGACCTCAACTCAATATCATAAAAATGGAGCTTGAACAGAATTTGATTTTTATGAGCTAATTGGCCATTTGACTTTTGGATCCATCGCAGGTAAGCGATTTCATATAAAAGATATCATACAACTCGATGGAGAGAGAAGACTTGAAAGCGCGAAGAGCACGAGCTTCATAAGAAAGACAATGCACTGGCACTGTGCCAGGGAATATAAATATGGGTGTATGGTATATGGAATCATGGAATGTCGTATATACCCATATCAAGGCGGATGCGGGAGAAACCCAAAGTAGAGGTAACGATTTTAGGCCAAAAACCCACTCGAAATGAGGGAAATGACTAAGAAAAGTTGAATAAGCGATTAAGATGGGGAGTTACATAAAATTATAATGTAATATTATACATATTACTGGTTAGTCTTTAAAGACACAAATAATATCAGAATACTTAAATACTTCTATAGAATACTATAATATTTCTATAGAATTCTATACTTCTATATCTATACTTCTTTGGAAAGCTCAAAAACCCTAGTTCTTCTATAACTTTTAATAGATTTTTCTATATAAACCCCCTATGTTTTTTATTAAAAATCTCACCTGGTTGTGGTTGTGCTGGATAGGCGGGCTTCTTCATCCACTCGTAGTACTGTGGCTTCGATGGCGATGTCCTGTTATTGTTATTATTGTTGTTCACACTGTTGTTGTTGTTATTATTATTGTGGGTTGAAGGACTATTGTTGTTGTTGTTGCCAGCGGCGGCACTAAGATGATGGGCCAAATGATGATGCGGCGACGAGGCAGAATTGGGTGCTCCGGGACTGGAGATCTCTGATCCGGAGACGGTAATCGGTGGTGAAGGCAGACCCTCGGCGATGTGCTGCTGTTGGTGGTTGGATGGAGCAGCGTCGGTGGATCCTCCACTGCCGCCTCCCAAACTGCTGTTGGTTTCGTTCAACTGGGTGGCACCACCGCCGCCGCCTGCTCCTCCGCTGCTGCTGCTGCCGGAACTGGCGGAGCTGCTGGAGCCACCGCCGCCTGCCACGGCATGGGAGTGATGGTGGTGCTGCTGCATCAGCTGGTGCGCCGAGGTGGGCACATTCTGGACAAAGTTATCCGCCGTACTGGAGGCCGGAGAGTGCCAATCGCCAGCGCCGGCTGCCGCCGCCGAATGGAACATGTGGTGGGAGTTGTAGTACATCTGATGGGCGGCCGCCGCATGATGGGCGGCATGGGATGTGTCCACCTCGCCGAGGAACTGATGATTCGGCGGCGTGTGATGGTAGTTTGGAGTCCAGTTCCAGGGCTGGCTGGCCGCCGAGGCATAAGCCAAGTTGGCGGCCGTGTGCTTCTGCGTGTAGGGCAGTGAATTGTAATAATGCGAAACCATGATTTGAGGTTATATCAGCTTTCAAGCTCCAATCGTTCAGTAATCCTCCTTCACAAGCCTGGCTTGGGTAATCCTTTTATTTCAGAGTTTCAGATTTTTTTAGACTTAATCCAGGTTTTTAAAAAAACATTTTTTGGACTTGGTGTCTTCGTTTTGGGCTTTTGGTAATCCTCTATTTTTCTTTTGTCTATTTATACAGTTATTCACTTAATTTGGAGATGGGTTTTTAGAGCTTAACACTCACACATAGACCAGATATCGATAGAATTGGTAGTAGCACTGTTTTAATGTAATATCTTAGCACACACTCCCGCGCTTTAAGACTGTTAGACTGTTAGGAATTTTTGAAATTTTATTCCGTTGCGCTGCGACGTCAGGTCAGTACGCAAGTCGAACACGTACTGGAACAGAAAACCAAGTCGACTGATAAAAAACCCAAAGCAACCGAAACAGATAAACCCGGACCCGGGCCATGGAGGAGAGGCTCAAACAAAAACAACCACCTTTCTCGCGCGCTCCGCCATATTGGAATAGGGTTCGAGCGAGACGACTCTCTGACACTGTTTCGGTCTATCTCTTTTCAGGCGCAATGGCTGGCGACCAGGTAGCCACGCCCCTTTGAGCCAGGTAGGCAATTTGTGGCAATTTCTTGACCAAGAGAAAACCCCTTTTCCTTTATGGCCAGCTTTCGATTTGTACGTACTTTAATTGCAATTGCCTTTTGGCTAATTAAGTAATTGCATTTCTGCATGCATTATGCAATTAGTGGCAATAAAATTATGTTTCCCTTTCCTCTCTCCATCGCTTTGGGCCATGGCTTTATCTGTAGTATAGCCAGCCTAAAGTGCCAATCAATGTTTTACCAACCAGATTTAAGAGTTTTATTCTCCATATACATAAACCATATAGTTTGTACACATATCGTGTGGATAGTGCGCCATTGTCCAGATATTTAATGTTTGCCAAGCAATTTCAGTTTATATGGTATGGGCGCTTCAATATATAGTCACAGTGCCATAGCTATGGCCATAAAGCTATAGCTCTAATTGCTATTATATAGTAAGAGCTGAGGAAACGCTATTAAATTGCAGGGCTTACAGGAAAAGAATGAAAACTTTTTGTAGATTGGATAGAAATTGATAACGATATTACATGATATGAACTTTTAAGATTGTAATGAAAGGAAACGTATAGCTGTGTATAATAGCTGTGTTGGAGAATAATACAAAATAAAAACATAATATTTAAGCATTGTATAAAGTATTGCATAATTGCATAAAAAAGGTATATCCGTAGAGATTGAGAGACCACGATTTAAGGTCTTATTTTTTGTAAATCTACAGAATACTATTCTGTATTTTATAGAGAAACTATTTAAAGAAAAAAAAATTTTTTTTACAGTTCATATATTCCGTAATATATCAAAATAATTTATACATAAACTATACTTCAAGGAGTTATAGTTTTAAAAACATATTTTTGAAGATATTGAAGTTTTCATTTCTTATACTCCGATATCAACAAAAATTATACTTTTATTCAGCTTTGAGGATCTTTATTTTTAAAAACGTATTATTGAAGATATTAAAGAAGGTATTGTTTTACTAATTAAGCCCTAAAATCTCAGTTTTAATAAATCTTTTAAACACTATATCTCTTTAAAACTCTTTTTTATTATAATTCGTCTAAAAACTGATTTAAATTTAAATATTTTGGTATGAAATAAAATGTATTACTAAGAACTAAGGTCCTGTTTCTATAAAAATGGCAACAGGACATCCAATTTCAATCTTAAAAGAACTAAATCCATTTCTGTTAGTTGCTTAATTTCCAACATTTATCTAGTCTTTTTCAGGTTCTTCCCATATATATCCTATACTATACAAGATTTTCACCTAAAATCAGCATGAATTGGACACTTTATCTTAATCCTTATTCCAAAAAAATAAAACTCCCCCGCTAATCCCAATTGTAATCCCAAACAAAGGTGGCCTAAGCTCGCGCCGATTGAGTAATCCCATCGAGTTCCAGAAATTTTCAAAGCAGATCTATAAAAAGTGTATTCATTGATCGCTAAGAGATCGTAAACCGGCAAATGTCGCGTCAAATAATTAGAAATGAATGCAGCTGACACAAAGGATGTGAACGGTCCAGAAGGGTCCTGTAACCGAAATTCGGGAACAGAAGCCTTCTAGGCAGTTGGCCTCGCGAGTCGCGAGTTTTGGGCAATACTTAAAATTCACTTATTAACGGTGGACTACCAGGACCAGAAAACTCGTCCACGGGATCGTGTCCAAACAAAAAACCCCTTAATGTCCCTAAAAGACAAAACATTGTAAAACAATCGAAAGGGCCCGCGGACAAAAGCCGATTTTATGATGGCCCGAAATGTGAACTGAAACAAGGACTCTAAGGATACGATCGCAATGTAACGGTTGCACGGAGACACCAAACACGGCTTATAAGGTGATGTTGCCAGTGGGCCTGGGTGACCTGCCCATCGGGTCGACGGGTGGAATCATAAAATGTTCACACAACAATTAGGCAGCCACAGCCCAGATTTTTTCCGATGCCTCGTCGCTTTTTTTTCGCAAATCGTCATCAATTCGGGGGAATTTACGGCGTGGGCTGGGCCTGGGGCAAGGGTAGGTCCTCTATATGGGTTTCACGAGTTTCGGTTCCCTCTATCAGGCACGGGCACGGGCAAGTCATGTAACAGGGTATCACTTTACCTGGAAGTCATTAGGGGCACACAAAAAAAGACTAATCCCTAAGTGAGGTATGTAAACATATGGTAATCCTCCATTCTAGAAGATGGTTCGAGATCAATCAAGGATTTACATTTATTTATTTATGTTATTTTATTATTATAATGCTCTATAATCTATAACTATAATGCTCGTATATAATATTACTTTTAATAATCACTAAATTTTATGTCTTCTTCCTTTAGCCGAAGGCCCTAGATGCCATGGCTTTTGTAGTAGATTTAAGTTTTGTAAGCCTAAGTCTACGATGTAATAATAATAATAATGATGTCTTCTTTATTCAAAATAAGATTCTTTTAAAAGTTTAGGTTTATTTATTTTCTTTAATACAGAATTGCCTTGTATATGTACCTTAAAAGTACTCCATAACTCCTATAGAAATTAATTTATTTTATTTCTTTTATGGAGTTTGAATGATAGAGGGTTTACCTATCATGAAGGATATGTTTATCCTTCATATCTCTCTGGAATCTATCTATCTTCATATCTTGGAAACGAGAATATAAAGAAGTATGAATAGTAAATATAGTATAGATTTCTTGTTGGGGATTGTTAAGTTACCATCTATTTTATTTATCATCAGATTCTACGAAACAAATGTTATATTCTAAAATAATATTATCAGTCATATTGAAAAAAGTATATTGAATTTGGTGTAAATATTTGAAAGGATTAATTTCAATTTATTAATTTTTTAGAACGCCTTGTTTGTTTAAAAATTCATTAAATCCTTTTTAAGACAGTTTATAGTTGTAACATCTTGATCTTCCAGTCATCGGGGAATTCCATTTTCCTCCCCAACCTTTCTCAATGACAGAATCATTACCATACCCAGAAAAAAACTCTAATGCATCTCTATCTGGGTATCGTAAATTAAAATCTGTCCCCCATAGACTTTAACAACCTGTAAAGAACCCAAAAAGGTATTTATATATTTTCCCTCAATTATGTTAATAAATCCATAAAGAAAGCAAAGCAAGCGCCATTCGCCCATAAAGCAGACTCCGAAATAAAACTCGAGGAGCAATCAGACTATATCAGAGATATATGTAGTTATAGAATGCCCCAGCCCTACACCCGTGTGTTCAGATATAATAACTCATATATGTGAGTACGATTTTGTGGGTATAATGTGTTCGACGTCGCCAGACGGATATGTCTTTGTCGTGAGGCGGTTTGGCGGTTCGTTTAACGTTTTGGAGAGTTTTATGGCCATTGGCCCCGGGGCCAAACCCCACCATCCGATATACCCCCGTGTACGGTTAACCCCCCATACACCCCACGCCCATCCCACAGCAAGTGCATTTTGCGTTGTAGGGGCACCGCCTCCTCGACCATCACAATCAAACACCTTTATGGGTGCCGCGACATTAGCGATAAAATATCTTTGTTAATAAAACAAATTAAAGTGGAGAAGACCAACAAAAACCCGGCAAGTCACAATTGCGTGGAAAACCCAAAAAATATTATTTTTGGATTTAACGACAAACATTTTCCCCAAGACGTACAATCGATCTTCTTTTTCATTTTGGTAAAAAGTTTATTTTAAATATACATATGATCATTGTCCAAAAAATAGGCATAAATTAACAATGTTAAGTATAGCACGGTTTTGGGTAATTAAAAAACAGATTTAAGGGGATATCGCTTAAAAACAAATTAAATACAAAAGGAATTTCATTTCGTTATAAATCTCGCTCTAGTGAGTGCCTCGAAAACGAAGTGCACAGCATTAGGATTAGATCAAGCCACAGGATCATAGGAATATATGGTATACAGTAGTATCAAGCAACACATACACACATTTATCTTTCTCGTCAAAATTAAAATTAGCAATAGAAGTTTCTCAGTTTATCAGTTTCAGATGTAAAAGCGTATAAAAATATATATCTTTATAGAAGAAGACCGTATTCTTTCAAGACTGACTTTACTTCCAATTATTGAAGACACTATTAAGTTCATAATTTTACATTTTTAATTCAATTTCATGTTTAAACAAACAAAAAAATAAATAAAAGATAATACAAATTAAAAATTTGCACTTTGCAGCTGTTTCACCTGCCGGCATTTCAGAATTTGTCTAAACCTAATGGATATGCCATTTGAGTTAAGATGTAAACAAGGCAACACACTTAGATACAGATACATCGATTTACATAGCTAATGTCCTAGGCCCTAGATCGCTACAGATGTCTATTTATATATGTACAGAGGAAGAAATTGCTCTTTATGTATATGGTTGGACTAACGATACTACGCGGAGCCGAGCACCTCATTGAGGATCATCTCGCGGGTCATCAGCTGGCCATTGTTGACCCGCGTCCGCGACCGACTCCGACTGAGTTGGGCCCTCCGTTCCGCACCCGCCGGACGTTGGCGGCGGGCCTGTCTATTCCGCTGCCCGAAGGCCGAGCCCGTTTGTAGAGCCTCCAGCAGGCTGTCCATCACGCCCTCCTGCGTCTGCGGCCCATCCATGTCCACCAAGGCGGTCTTGTGTTTCTGGCGTTCCTGCTGCTCCCGAATGGATTGCTCTCGGGCTTCTTGCAAACGTCGCTTCCTCTCCAGCTCCTCGCGCTGGCGTACATTTTCGTTGTACGCCGCCTGGAAGGCATCCTTGAACGTCTTGATGTCCGCGAAGAACTCCTCCATGGTGTATTTGTTGGGATCGAAGGCATAGTACTCGCTGAGGTCCTTGAACAGTTTCTCCATTTGCAATTGCATTTTGCCTTTTAAGGAAGAGTAACCATGTTATTGTCGTGGTTATAGTATTGTAACAGTGTTCATACTCACCTAACACATCCACTTGTTGGCGGCACTCCTCGGCAAACTTGCTCATCACCTCGCTGAACTTGTCATCATCGCACTGCGGCACCTTATTGTTTTGCAGATCCGTTTCCAGATTCTTTACAGCCGAGTTCATAAGACGCATCGACTTCTGAATGCCATCCATGTTCACCCTCGACGCCTTGTCCACGTGCGAGAGATCGTCATAGAAGTTGAGGGCATCGGGGAAGCGCTTCTCCACCAAGTCAGCCAAATAGTGTAGCAGTGTCTGCTTGTTGTCCGCGTCCTTTGTGTTGGTCAGCTTGGTGAGATAACTGATTTCAAAGCCAAAAGCCGCTTCGTTTTTGGAACCCGAATTCATGTAGTTTCCGAGCAGGAGAATAAGTTCCAGGATCTTGGAGAACTTCTGGCTGTTTCGCACTTCCTCGCATGCCGCCGTTCCAGCCACAATATCCGGTTTTATATCCTGCACCATGTCCGCGTAGGTTAGCTTAAAGTTCAGGTTATGGAGACGTGGCGACAGACGTTTGATTTCACCTGGAATTCATTTCAAAAATTAACTTTTTTCCCAACGGAATCCTATATATTTGACTCACCTATGGTAGCTGCAAATTGTTCAATTGGTGGCAAGGGTTCTCCCTTCGCCTTAATCTCCTGCAGACGCTTGAGTTGCTCTGGAGGCGGCAGGTATTGGATAAGTTGCTGCAGGATGTTGCTCGAGAGGATGGCGGTGTCGCAGCGCAGCAGACATATCTTAATCTGTTCGTAGGACAGGTGTTTCAGGGAGCCACCCAGCATGATGGCCAGATTCTGGGCCGTCTTGCCATCCAGCACGCGCAGATCGACGTTCTTCTTGGTCAGCGTCGTCGGCTTGTCCACTGCATCCTTTTGCTCCTTCTTGACCGGCTTGGAGGAGAACTTCATAGCCACCTCGGCTAGGAATTCCTCCTGGGCCAGCTTATCCTCCTGGCACTTGACCCAAAAGGCCTTCTCCGACATGTTATTGGGAGCGATGGCCTTCCAGTTTGCCCGTTTCATTGGATTTTTGACCTCCCACTTCTTCTTGGGCTTTAGACCGTGCGGAAGTACGGGTACCAGCATCATGGGCGGTGGTGGCGGGCCTCCAGGACGCATCATACCCGGCATAGGTGGTGGCGGTGGTCCACCCCTACCCATACCGGGCATGGGGGGCGGAGGAGGTGGTCCTCCACCCATACCCGGCATTGGAGGTGGCGGAGGTGGTGGTGGACCGCCACCCGCCCTACCTGGCATGGGTGGTGGGGGCGGAGGTGGAGGGCCTCCTCCTGGCGGTGGCGGCGGCATGGGTATGTTGACTTTCGGCAACTTATTTGGCGACGGAGCCGCCACACCATTCGCCTCCATCAGCTTGACTTTCTCCTCGAGATGAGCGGCCTTGGCTTCCGCCTCCTGCTTCGCGCTTACCAGCAGCTCGATCTTCTTCTCGTACTCCTCAGCCTTCTTGGCCTCCTTGGCCTTGGACTTTTCCACCATCTCGTCCAGCAGCAGCGAGGTGTCTATTTTGAAGTCCCTGTTCTCGAAATTGGGGTCACAGTAACCCTTGTGGAAGACAATCTGCGAGATGCACTCCTCAATCAGCTGGTAGTAGGCTGGTCGGAAGTAGAAGTCGTCTCTGATGTACAGCAGATGCTGCAGGATGGACAGGAAGTAGGGCTCGGATGTGGTGTCGGTGACCAGGTTCTTCAGCACCTCGAAGCAGTCCGTGGCATCGTCCATGTTGAAGGTGACACTATCGAAGCGCTGGACAAACTCCTCGAAGTCATCCTCGCGGCTTTCGTTGAAGATCTTGAAGTGATCCTGCAGTGCATCGTTGTTGCTGGCCTCCACTATTTTGTTGAAGTCGTCCAGGTGATCGTAGAGACCCATTCGCATAATCTCACAGCGCAGATGCAGCCGGAAGTTCAGGTCCGTGGGCGTGTTCGTGAGGGTGTTGATGAAAATCAAGCTGTGGCAGGCCAGTTCCTTCTTAGGATCCGCCTTGTCTGTCACGAACAGGGCATCCACAATCGGACGGAAGCGCTCGCTGGCCTTGAAGGAGGTGGATGCTATGGTGGTAATGGCTCTCAGCACCTTCTCGTAGCCATTTCGCTCGTTGACTAGACAGAATGAAGCCAACAACTTGAGAGCCTCGCCCATGGTCTGCGGCTTGCGGGGATCCAGGGACTGGGCCAGCAGCAGCAACACACTATGCTGATCCGGATTGAGGACGACATTCAGGCCCCAGGTATTGTTCATGATAGCCTTCAGGCATCGAATCGCCTCAAACTCGATCCTGTCCGAGGTGCGATCCTTTTTGGAGCGCGACAATAGCTTCTCGATCTGACCGATGCCCGACACCCCGAACTCCTTGATCCACGAGATCGGGTTGCTGGTGAGGGCCACGCGAAGCGATTCCACGCACTGGTAAACCTTGTGCTCGCTGTGCTCTCCATTCTGCAGGTATTCCACGTAGTCCGAGGGCTTCTCGAAGCGGGAGTTGGCGCTGCGCTCCAGTGAGTTCTTGCCTGGAAAAGAGAAACTGGATTAGTGAAGCTATTCGATTTCTTTTGGTTAAGTTTACTGAAGCAGAAGTTGATATAAATGTAGTATAGCAATAGAATTATAATTTCCTTGTGGTTTTTATCAATATTTTTAGAGTCACACCCCTTTTCCTAACCTACTTTCAGTGAGTCATTTGCAAGCAAAAATAGACAACGTCATTTTCTAATAAACCTGATAAGAAATATAGTAGAAAAAACCCGTAAATATTTAAAAATATAGTCATCAGAACCTTGAATAAAAATAGACATTATATTACTATTAACTATTACTACCCAGCCCAACAAGAAACCATTCAAATCAATCAAAAACCCAGCCCACACCTTATATATTTATCCTCCAAAGCCCCACTACGCTAACTGTTTTAATAATTAACCCAAAACACCCATCCAAGCGTGTTAATGAACAGCTTTTTGTGCCATTGTTTGTGTTTTAATTTTAATTTCGCTACAGGTGGTGGTTCTGCCACAATAATCATGACCGATAAAAGAAGTATAATACTTAATTATACTCGTATGAAACCTGCAAGTTACATGCACTTGCCACTCACATCAGAATTTATTTTAAGGTTGATTTTGTCATAAGGTGTTTAACGTTTCCATTTCCATACATATAATATTTGCATTTTATGGCAAGTCTAAAGTGTAAGAAAAAATTGCCACGATTGGGAGAATATTTCTCTACTGAAGCTCTCTCGTATTTTGCACTTGAAGAAATCTATTTTATTTTTATTTTTATTTTTATTGTTTTTTATACTTTACTGAGTAAGCTTTACATACTACTTGCCTATAAATTAAATACAAAGAACGCATGACATTCTCACTACCACTTGACGTAATTAAAATTGTATAATATGCAGCATATATAGTATGGTAAAAATTTCAATGTCTTCGCTTGTTTTATTTTTTTTTTTGCGGCATGACTTTTGTCATGAATTCTTCGTATAATTATTTGATAAAAAATAAAACAGAAGAGGATGGAGAGACGACTGTACAAGGTTGGGGAGCAATTTAAGCGTTACAAACGATAAGAAAAACTTTGGTTCTGTGGGTTCTACGCAACCCCAAGACCTGATAATGGACCGACCCCAGCATGTGGCCCATCCATGGGCAGTGGGCGCTGAATTAACTGGAGCAAGACGCCAAGAATGAAGCTTCGAAAGCTGAGCTAGCAATGAAATGTGGTATGCCCAAGATAGCTACTGATCTGCTACAACGATAATTACGGGATAAGAAATTCTTGTTATATTTTTTTCTTTTAAAATATATTTTTAAATTAAATTTTAAACCAATTTTTATATTGTTTTCTATTAATATCCCATTATAACGATATCTCACCCATCCTTGACACCCATCACTAAGAATAATAAATGATGACAACCCTCAAATAACGGTTTATGTGATATGAAAACAAATAGAATGGAAGGTGAGTGGAAAATAAATTGGCAAATAAAACAAGAGGTAACCAAACAGAAAGAAAAAAAAAATTAGCAGGCGCACGCACGCACACCACGATAACAACGTCAAGCACACAGATACACGTACCGTTACCTGCTAATCTTATCACAATTGGAATGCAATATACCACGGAATACAACAAAAACAAAGAAACAGTAAAAAGAGTCATCACCGCTGGCATGAAAATCAATTAAAAGGGGCATTACCTTTTAGATGCCACAATATCATATCCTGACGCTGTGACTTTGTCTTGGCCAGCAACGGTTCCCGCTTGTCCTTCGGTATGTTCATGTCATCGATGATTTCCAGAAACTTGGCATTTATCTCCTCCTCGCTGAGGCTCTGAATATACTCCTTCCAGTCCTCCACACCCTGGACGGGATCGTTCTCGGAGGATACGGGCCTACCGCCATGGGTGAGGGTGCCACTGTTGATGCTTCCTCCCTTCGATTTTGAGGGTCTTCCAAAGAGACTCTCCAAGATGCCACCACCCGTGGACTTGGTTTTTTCGTGACGAGACATTCTAAAAAATATAAATTATATAATTAATATATATTTTTAATATTATTTTTTGAAGAAATAAGCTTGCAAACCCTCTATTTTTAAGACGCATTTTTGTCAAAAAACAGAACTGAATGTCAGGAAAACAAAAACATCTTTGTCTTTTTGGGTCATGCGCAGTTTTCAGATCCCAAACACACAGCTGTTTTTTGTTTACACTTTTCCAAGTACATTTTCAGGTGGTTTTCCAAAGAAAATACAATCCATCGGATGAAAGATTTCCGATATTATAGGCTTGGAGTTTATTTACAATTTTTTATTGTGGACGAATCAGCCTGAATGGCGGCATTAAAAATATTCAATTAGCATTCAGAGTCTAACAAGCTACAGTAGAGCCTCATAAAGAGGGAAAATATAATTATAGACATATTTTAAACATTTGTCAATCATTTTAAGGGCCTTGTTATCTATTTTTTAGGCTTGTTGTTGATAAGATTACCCCTTCTACTACCTCACAATTTTAGTTAGAAACTCCTCATAACCATAATTGGTAAAAAGAACTATCTATCCAATCACCACTGTGATAAACAAATGATTCGAAGCGTGAAAACGACTGATTAGAATTATAAACAAAAAATACACCCAAAAATAAACCAAACAAATTGGACATTTTCATCAAATTATTAAAACGCACTTAACTCACAAAATGATGAGATAATCAGTGCTAGCAATGGCTATTTGTTATGGTTATTGGGTGATTCATTTTGGCCAGAAATCTGCCTCTATGGAAGGATGCGATGGATGGCGATGAGAACGCTGGAATCGAGCCACCTTATGAATCACTAATGGAATCGCCACACCAGCTGGCGGCTGGCCGGGCGAGGTGAGAGCCAAAGTCGGAGAAAAATTATAAAAAGCAGAAGCCTAACAGGTTTTGCGTATTATTCCTGATCTTCACTGAGAAATCGTGGACTTTATAGAGATATAGAATATGATAATATATATTTTGAGGTAATTTTTAAGTAAGTTTTTTGGTTAGAAAGTGTTGAAAAAGGGGGAGTTTTTATTTTATTTTCAAGATATAGAAGAAAAAAAAAAAAACACTTTATTTAAAAAAAAAAGGTTCTTAGGCGGGGTAAGCCCTTAAGGTTCTTCTTAGGTTCTTAAAAAGGGGTAAGCCCCTAAAGTTTTAGACAATACTTATATAGATATACATTTTTATTCTTAGCCTAAAATATCTAGGCTCGTTTAAGAGCTTCAGCGCCAAAATAACCTGTCTTTTGAAGACCTCTTCTTTATCAATTTTTTTCTCAGTGTATTCCAATAGACGTGCCAACTGTCAGTGGATCATTCACATTTCCAGACTAGAGAAATCAAATTTAATATTTATTATGACTCCGCAAAAGGCCAATTGGGAAACAAGTATGGGAATGAATCGTCTACAGAACCGAGACTCGAGTATGTGGCTGGATTTGGAGTGTGTGGTGATGGTGCTGGTGGTGCTGGTGATGGTGTGTGGGAAGTGGCTGCCGGAGAGTGGCTGCTGGAGTGGAGCGACAAGTTCAAGCAGGGCAACAATTTCTTTTCAGGTCGGCTGGTAAGCATGTGCCGAGGAAATGCTTTCAACAAGATTTCTTTTGCCAAAGAATTTACAGCAATTACAGCCAGCTAGCTAGCCACAGAGGTATGTATGTATGTACATCTATTTCTCTATTTTGTTTACATGCCTATGAGAAGGCACTGCTCCCGAGGGTGGATGGTTGGGTGTTAGGTGCTGCTGCTGCTGCTGCAACTGCGAAAATGTAAACAAGCTACATACATGGATGTGGTTCTACATCAGAGTCTAATAACTCGGCCTGGAATTCCAAGAAAGAGCCAGTTTTTGAAAAATAAAGAAGAAGCGAGACTGGAACAAAATGCGCTCACCTTCGCTTCGATATCTGTGTCGCCTGCTCACTTTTGATTTTTTTTCGGTGGTTTACGTCATAAGACAGAAAAATAATGGCTTGGCAGCAGTCTCACCCATACAGTCACACTCTCACACACCTTTACATACAGTTGCGATCAAACGGCTTTGCCTGCTTGCTGCTCTTGTTTTTGTTGTTGTTGTTGTTGTTTGTGGCCTATGGCTTTTTGTTTGTTTTATTGCGCGACGCTGACGTCGACGCCGCTTCAAACACACTTTTTTTTTTTTGTCCCTGCGTGGTTAATACTCATCAGCAACAACTAAACCACTCCTAAGTCGAGCGTTTATCTTACTTTTCAGTTGATTTTGTTTGTGCCACCACTTGTTGCTACTCTGCACCCGCGGATGATACATGAAATACAACCGGATTTCGGCTATATTGCTATCTAAACGATTTGGCTTTATCGTTTCACTATCCACTTGGCACGTATAGATCGTTTCCACAGCCCGGCCGAAAAAATGCGCAAAATTCTCGTACATTGAAATACAGCGTTCTGCTCGGCGATCGGAATAAAATTACAGTGTGACCAAAGTCTGGCGAATAAAATCCGAAGAATTATTTACCTAACGCCAAGTTTTTAAAAATTGAAACCGTTAAGGATTTAAAAAATTAACTTTACAGATTTTCTTGTTTATATATTGATTATAAAAGTCTTTAGAGATCTACAAGTTTCTCATATTAATATATAACATTCTTAAGCTTGGTTTTATTAATCTTTCTGCAAATCAAGCCAGATTTTGATTAAAATCATAATTAAGCTAATTTTATCATTTAGTTTTAACAAATTTCAATGTTTTTATGAAAAAGTGACTCAGTTAAAGTTGAAAAACTTAATTATAAAAACTCAACGATCAAAAAGAATAAACTAAGTTGGCAGTGTCTTTCTCTGTTGAGCAGCTGGGCAAGGTGGCAACCCAAATGTGTGGCTATTCGATTTGACAGTTTCTTGCATTTGGATGAAATTTGTTTTAATTCCTTTCTGCTTTTCCAAAAATCTTAAATTAAATAAAAATGCAAAGGGGTCGTGAGTCTGCGGGATCAAATGCCCGCAAGGGCAACCGACCCCCTGGACTAAAAGGCAAAGAAATCGGCCTCTATTACCGGAATCTGGCACGGCAGCGAAAAAAGGAGTCAGGCGAACAAGAGAGACCTGAAAAGCCTTCGATTACCTTAGGATGCAATGTCAGCGCTCCGTATGGTGTTCTTCAGAAAGCCATGGGCCTTCTGGAGTCCTATAAGGAGGCTCTGGCCAATGAGAGATGTGATGAGGACGAGCAGTTCAAGGAGCAATTCGGACACATTTTGAGGGTGAACTTTGAGCAGTTCGTCAATGAATCTAAGGAGAAACACAAAGGATATAGTTACGATAATAGCCGACTAGATGAGAAGCTGAAAGATGAGCTGGAGCAGCGGCAGCGAAGCGAACTTGGCAGAAAGCGAATGTCGGGGCGGCAGAAACTTCCCGCCATGAAATATGCAGCAGACATACTCCAAGCGGTGAAAGAGAACCAGGTGATTCTCATAGTGGGCAGCACTGGATGTGGAAAAACAACTCAGGTGCCGCAAATCCTTCTCGATGACGCCATAGCCAATGGCCGTGGTACCTCGTGTCGCATTGTTTGCACCCAACCGCGCCGGATTTCGGCCATAACCATAGCCAAGTGGGTTGGCTACGAGCGCTGTGAGGATCTGGGCCAGTCGGTGGGCTATCAAATTCGCTTAGAGTCGCAGAAGGCACGCGATCGCGCTTCCATTACCTACTGCACCACAGGCGTAGTATTGCAACAATTACAAGGAGATCCTCTAATGAGCAACCTCAGTGTCCTGATTCTAGATGAGATACACGAACGCAGTGTAGAAACGGACTTGCTTATGGGCCTGCTGAAGGCTATCCTGCCCCACAGACCCGATCTGAAAGTCATCCTCATGAGTGCTACGGTGCGGGAACAAGATTTTTGCGATTATTTCGACAACTGCCCCATGTTTCGCGTCGAAGGTGTTATGTTTCCCGTAGAAATGCTCTATCTGGAAGATATCCTGGCCCTGACAAAGTATAACTTCCGCAAACAGTTTAAAAATCGTCGTCGTAACAGCTGTAGTGCCGATCAGGAAATGCAACACATGGCCATGATAGAACCCTACATACGAACCATCAAGAACTCGCATGACAAATACGTTTTGGATCAATTGCGCTTGCCGCAATCAGAGGGTTGTGAGGATCTGGATTTCATTGCTGATCTAGTCTACTACATCTGTGATACCGAGCCCGATGGAGCCATTTTGGTCTTCCTGCCGGGCTACGATAAAATTTCCAAACTGTACAGTCTACTCGACGATCCGTCCTCATCTGCCGGCAAAAGATGCAAGGAAAAGATAATTATGTTTGCTTTACATTCCCTAATTCACACTTCGGAGCAACAGGCTGTCTTCCAAAAGCCCCCTCCTGGCAAACGCAAGGTCATCATATCCTCCATAATATCCGAATCCTCAGTGACCATTGACGATGTTGTCTATGTGATTAACAGTGGCAGGACAAAGAGCACCAACTATGACATCGAAACGAACATTCAGTCCCTGGAGGAGGTCTGGGTGACCAAAGCCAATACGCAGCAACGTAAGGGAAGAGCCGGACGCGTCCGACCTGGCATCTGTTACAATCTGTTCAGTCGAGCGCGGGAAACGAGAATGCAGGATGTTCCAAAGCCGGAGATTTTAAGGTCCAAACTGGAATCAATCATTTTGAATTTGAAGTTGTTGCACATCGAGAATCCGTACAACTTTCTGGGCACTTTAATCAATGCCCCTAATCCGGAGGCCATAAAGATTGGAGTGAACTTGCTGATGCGGTGAGTTTTTTATGATAAAATATATAAAAAATATTTCTAAATAATTTTCTTAATTTTTTACAGCATTGGAGCTTTAGATTCGAATAGAGTCCTTACTCCGTTGGGAATGCATCTGGCCAAGCTCCCCATTGATCCCCAAATGGGAAAAATGATTCTGATGTCGGCACTATTCTGTTGCTTGGATCCCATCACCTCGGCAGCGGCAGCACTTTCCCACAAATCGCCCTTCTACTCTCCGCTGGGTCAGGAGAGCCGCCTGGACGAGATCAAGCGAGACTTGGCCCGCAACATGCGTAGTGATCACCTTTTGGTTCACAACGCCATCATTGGCTATAGGGAAAGTCGATCCTTTCGCACCGATCGGGACTTTTGCTACAAGAACTTTCTCAGTTACATGACCCTGCAGCAGATCGAGGATATGAAACACCAATTTTCTGAACTTCTATTCAACTCCAAGTAGGTTTAAGAATTATATTTCTTAAAAGTTATTTTTAAAACCCTCTACCTTAACAGGTTTTTGACTGCTAGAAGCTGCAAAGATTCTATTTCCAATATGAACTCCTCCAAAGTTCCCCTGCTTAGAGCCATCATTGGTGCTGGTCTTTATCCCAACATGGCCCACATGAGGTAGTTATTCATAAAATATTCAAGATCTTGTATAATTAATCTTTTAAATTAACAGAAAATCTCGAAAATTGAAAAACAAAGTTCGTGCCATTCATCACATGTCCACTGATGATGGCCGCCGGGTCAACTTCCATCCCTCTTCCATCAACAGTGGCGACAGTGGCTTCGAGTCGGACTACTTTGTTTACTACCAACGCCAAAAATCGACCGCACTATACCTGCTCGACTCCACCATGGTGTTTCCCATGGCGCTGATTATTTTTGGCGATGGAGTAGAGACCGGATCGGTCGACGGTAGGCCCTATATATGTGTGGCCAATACATATTAGTAAGTGTTTTAATTAAAGACTAAATCTTGGATAATGTCATCGTTTATCTTCTCAGCTTTAAATGTGATAACGAAACCGCTGAGGTGGTTTTGGAACTACGTAGCCACTTGGAGAAATTCCTTCTAAGAAAGGCATTATATCCAGCTCCTGTTGAGGAAAATGGATTCGAAAATCTATTATTTAGGTAAGTAGCACCCACTTATTTTTTAGTATTTGTTCTAACTTCCCGTTAACTTCTTTTCAGTGCCATTGGACAACTTTTGTCGCTCGATGAGAAAATGGGCGATGAGGACATCTCCTCGGATGAAATCGACGACATATAACCAGTCCTAAATAATTGCTTTTTAAAATTTGTTTATTTATTTTTAAATACAAAACCTTCATCTGGCATGTAATAAAAACAAAGCTCTTTTCGTTAATAAATTATGAGGGCAAGCTAGTCATGCAATAACAAAAGCATCTGTTAGAATCGGACTAATCGTCCTCTAAAAGGGCAAACACATTCCGAGATCTGGGGGGATCCTCCTCAATGGCGCATTCGTCTTCATCGGCATTGGTTTCATCGTTAGAGCTGTCCTCATCCTCGTCATCGCTGTCGGCGGCTGAAAATAAATAAATTAAGCATTTTAGTAAATGTTTCTTTTAAAGAGTTTCTCCTGTACAGGTCAGACAAGTGTATCTCCTTGAAAACTGCAAGGAGGCCCAATAGCGATGTCTGTATCTTCGAGAATAATGGTCTGATTCTTGAGCGGAATATCTCAAACGATTTGTGGATCGATTTTCTATCCATCTGCATCAAAATCTAGAAATAAATTATTTTTTAGATTTTTTGTCAAATTTTCTAGAGGACCCCCTTCAAAAGTGATCCGAAATGCATGGAGGCACAATATGGCCCACAGCCATGGCTATATCTTCGCGAATAATGGCCTGATTCTTGAGCGGAATATCTCAAACGATTTGTGGATCGATTTTCTATCCATCTGCATCAAAATCTAGAAATAAATTATTTTTTAGATTTTTTGTCAAATTTTCTACACAACCCCCTTCAAAAGTGATCCAAAATGCGTGGAGGCCCAATATGGCCCACAGCGATGGCTATATCTTCGCGAATAATGGTCTAATTCTTGAGAGGGATACCTTAAACGATTTTTGGACCGATTCTCTACTAGTCTGCATCTAAATCTAGAAACAAATTGTTGCTTGAAGATAGTATTCTTGTACTTACTGTCTGAGCAAACGGAGGAAGTGTCCCCATTGGTCTCACTCTCAGGTTCGTCCAGCTCTTGCTGTTGGTACTTTTTGACCTCTGCCAAATCCGGATGCTGCAGCCAGTGATCCCGTCGCTCCTCGTAGCCTGGAGGATAAAATTGGAGAACCAACTGCTGCTGGCCGGCAAGGCACGAGCGCAGAATGTGATTGGCGGCGCGATAGCGATCCGGTCGGGCTGCCTTGGCCGTCAAAAATCCTCTCTTGTAGGCCCAGGCGTCCGAAATGGCTACTGCCGACCACTCGTCATAGTCCTCCGGCAAATGGAGCCTCAAAAGCTGAGGCAGGTTCAAGTGCTCTCCAAGGAACTTTAGCGAACGATACGGGACCGCCAGTTGGGAGATCGGGAAACTTCCCAAAAGGACTTGAAGGCTCTTTGGGGTCGTCGAGGGAAAGACTAAACCAGGACAGTCGCACAGGCGGACCAGCGGTGTCAGGAAAATGGTTTGAAAATGCTTTGTGTGTCCCGGGGTGCGACTCACGCTGACTACTTTGCGTCCCTTCAAGGCGTTGATCAGAGACGACTTGCCCACGTTTGGGAACCCGATACAGCCGATCGTCAGGACTCCATTGTGGTACTTGACGTGCTCATGCGGTGTGGTATCGATGCTGCTGCTGATCTTCAGCTCACCCTCTACCGCAGCCGTAACATCCTCCAGTATGTCCAAGTGGTCGCTGCTCATATCCTCGCGAATCTTTTTCTCCCACTCCTTTAGGTCCACTTCACCCTGGACATATCGCTGGCATTCCTTGTAGATGTTATACACGCCTTCCATGCTTCTGCGATGAGCCTGCGGTCCACGTTGATTGCCTTTACGGGATCGTGGTAGAAACGAGGCAAATAATACGACGGGCAATTGGGGATAGCGCTCTTTAAAGTACTCTCTCCACGCCACCACAACCTGCGGCTCCACCAGATCCACCTTGTTGAATACAACTATGGCCTGCTTCTTGAGGGTGTTTATGATGTAGTCATACAACGAGGGCGGAAACATCAGCGTGGCATATCGCATGTCTACAATGATCAGCAGGATGTCCGAGAATTCCAGGACACGCCACAGCTGACGCCAAGTCTCTAAGTTAAGCTCGAAGAGGGAAAGCTCCTTAGAATCGCTGGCACGCTGCTTTTTTTGCAGTTCATCCACATATTCCTGGCAAGAAGCACCCATAATTGTGTATAAATTGAGATGTATGAGCATATAACCTGACCTACCTTAAAATACCGATTCTCGCTGCGATCGAGCTGCTCCTTGGTGTGTTCCGGTTTCCAGGTTGGTCGTACGGGAAAGTCACAGTTGGCAAAGAATCGTTCGTCCACCTCGCGTTCCTTGGGACTGAGCACGTCCAGCGGCTTAAAGCCTTCCTGCTTCATTTGCTCCAGTTCCTTCTTGCCCTCTTGGTAGAACTGTAGGTTATAACGATTGACGTTTTTGTTCCGGTTTCCGCCACGACCAAACGGTTGCTCCATTAGCTTCCTTGTGGTTTCGGGCACATCGCTGTCCTCGTAGGATTCCTGAGTGCTTCTAAGGTATTTGGGCGGACCTGCCGGCATGCCATTGTTAGTCATATCTTCTAAGTTTCCATACCTCCCCCTTTTCACAGGTGGGCATTGTTTTCTCACCTTTTGTGCTGCGCTTCTGCAGCATTTGGTCCTTCTTTTTCTTGCCGCTAAAGGCCACCTTGCGCCGCTGCTGTGGCATGGTCCTGCTATTTCTCACTTCTAGATAATTTAGTTACTCGGTTTAATGTTGCTAATATTAATTGAAATATTGTTGCCGCTGCCCCTTGGCGAATTAAATATTTACAAACAGGTTGGCAGCTTTGGCAAGGCAAAAAGGGTTGTCGAGCTTTGGGAAGCTTATATATATGGCGCTAAAGGTATTTTATCCCTAGGATATATTGAATAAAATCGTTACTACAAATTAAATACATTTTTAAAGCTTACTATTTTCATAGGAAAGCCTAACATAATAATATATATTTTTTAAAAATATCCCCTTGGCTCGACAAGTTGGCAATCCTTTAATAACAATGTTCAAAGTGCAATTACTTCTTTCTTTATTTTTTAACCAATTACTCCACAAAAGATGCCGCTGAAGGGCATTAAAGTACTGGAATTCGTGGGCCTGGCCCCTGGACCACTTTGTGGCAAGATACTTACCGACTTTGGCGCAACAGTAACCCGTATCGACAAGGTAAACAAAGCAACAGACCACAACTGGCTTCTAATTAAATTAGTACTCATTTCCAGATTCTTGATAATCCCCTCGATGTGCTGCAGCAGGGAAAACGCACCATGAGCCTTGATTTAAAGAATCCGAAAGGGCAGGCATTGGTACGCCGACTGGCCAGCAAGTGTGATGTGCTCATAGAACCATTTCGTCCGGGTGTGATGGAGAAACTGAACCTCGGACCCGCCCAGTTATGTGCAGAGAATCCCCGCCTGATTTATGCCCGTCTCACAGGATTCGGGCAGCACGGAAGACTGGCTCCCAGGGCTGGCCATGACATCAACTATGCCGCCATGTCGGGAGTGCTTTCCATGCTGGGCCGCCGAACGGAGAAACCCACTGCACCCATTAATCTCCTGGCAGATTTCGCGGGAGGCAGTGTCATGTGTGCCTTGGGTATCTGCCTGGCTCTTCTGGAGCGTCACAACTCCGGCCGCGGACAGGTGGTAGATTCCTCCATGGTGGAGGGAGCTGCTTATGTGGCCAGTTGGATCTTTATGTCCCGGGACTTGCCAGTTTGGGGACACGAGCGAGGCAGTAACTTTCTGGATGGTGGCGCCTACTGCTACGATACTTACGAAACAAAGGATGGTCTCTTCATGTCCGTGGGTGCCTTGGAACCGCAGTTCTTCGAAGTGCTGAAAGGTTGTCTGAACCTACCGGAGGATCTCTCCCAGTTTGCACCGGATGACCAGGAGCGAGGCAGAAGACTGTTGACGGAAGCCTTTCTAACCAAAACCCAAGCGGAATGGTCGCAGATATTTGAAGACTTGGATGCTTGCGTGTATCCAGTGCTGGATTACCGGGAGGCCCACAAACACGATCACAACCAGGCGAGGGAATCGTTTGAAGTTATTGGCGAGGGACTAGCTCCACGCCCAGCTCCTCGACTGAGCAGGACTCCTGGCAAGTTGGCCCAGGAGCGTGATAATAAACAACTAGAACTGATTGATGAATTGCAACTGAAACCAGAGGAACTAAAGGAGTTGCTCGATACGGGGGTACTCACTCTTCCCAAGGGAGCTAAGCTTTAGAAGGCAACCCTTTGAAAAAGGATAGTATAGTTCTATGATTTAATATTTGAAGAGATGTCTTTGAAAAAGATGTTAAACTTTGTATGTCTTACCTTAGATTCTCTTGAGGAGATCTTATGGGAGTCCTTATATAAGTAGAAATAAAACAAATTGTTTTTTTTTTGCTCTTGCATTCAAAGATCTTTTATTCTCGCATCTCTTGCACACAAACACATATTACATTTGCTAAAATTTCGCGTACAAACTATCAGTCATACAATTTGTTTACGAACAGTTGGGCCGCACTTTGATATTGGATTATATTGAGATGGATATACTACAGCATTGAAAAGAAATTGATTTATATGGTCTATAGTAGGATCTCCTATATATAATCGTGCATAACCACCGTTCGTTCGATCTTGCTCATTTTAATCTCTCTCGCTCGCGCTGATTAATGACTAAGAATTGGATTTATACTAGCATACAGAGAGTAGTATCGGTACTTATAGATAGGGCATTATAGGCCAAAGCACCGCGCGTCAGCTTCCCAGGATTAATCCATCATTATAATGTTTGGTTTTTGGTAATGTTGGGTGTAAATTTCACTAGTTGGCGTTGTTGGTTTGTCTCGTCTCGTTAAGTTATCCTTGTGAGTCCTTAGTTAAGTTGTTGTTGTTGTTGTTGTGTATGTTGTATGTATAAATAGTAAGTCTCAGTTCTCAGTATAAAATCAGTACCATATGTTGCTTTTTTCTCAATTTTTGTTTTCTTTAGTTTACAATTACAATTTGTATTTCGTTTTTTTTTACAAAAAAATATCATTTCTCTGCTGCGCGTGGTGCTTTTTTTTTAAGTTTTGTTACTTTTATTTCATTTTCCACATTACATATATATCATAAATATTTCACATATACATACAGTTCTCAGACATACAGACAACACAATTATGAAATCACAGGCAAAAGTTTTAGTTTTTTTTAAAGATTTTTCTTCAGACGACAACCACTTGCATACCGGGTAAGGATCAAGATGCAAGTCCTCGATATAGCCCCAAAAAAGGAGGGCTTGGAGCTTGCATTTCAACCGTTTACCAGCCTTCTTACACTAAATGACATGAAATTCGTACTTAACCACTAAATCTAACAAAATCAAGAGTCCACATAAACTCACAATTTTTCCTTTAATATTTTATAATTTTCTCTTCTTTCGATTTTTTTGTTGGAATGATACCATACAGTCACAGTTGCACACATTCATTCTTACATTTAAAGATAGTCATGTAAGTTATGTATAAAATATAGAAATTTTTGTGCTAAATGATGAGTGTTTTCGGATTAGTTTGGTGATTCGGACAATCTTCTTTCACAACAACCATTAATGCCAATATCATCACACCATTCAATGCACAAGCACCACCAGCATCATATCAGGTTCTCAAACTCAATTCTCAGACACCTGTGAAAATAGTTAAATCGTTGTTAGATTGTCTAACTTATAGGATAAAAAATAAATTCTAAACATCACTTACATTTCGCATAACACAGCCATAGACTTTCAAAGGTTCTTGCAGGCGTGGCTCTCAGCTCTCACCATGATTAGGGTCGAGGGGGTCCTAAGATCCTAAGGTTTCAGAGTCACCACCAATCATTCAAGTGCCGGTCTCATCCTCATTTATCACTCATAGCTAATGTTAATATTAATTTAATTAATTTTGGCCATTATGGTTTACATTTAATTGGTTTTCTTTCTTAGTTGCCATTTCAAAATTTCCCATTTTTTTTAATTTTTGATATGTTATGCAATTTAATTTTCAGTTTCCATATGGACGGCTGTACGATATTTCTCTTATTTGGGGAAAGGAAATAATAATAAAAGAACCATTTACCAATTAGCAACTGATTTATTTTGAAATGACAACCTTTCGAGATGGAGAATTCGTTAAGAAAAGTTCAAAATTCGGATTTCAAGCTTTTCCAAATAAATTCTTTACATGTGCGCTTATTTTCTAGAGTAACTATTCCAGAGTTCATACATCTCATACAAGTCTCACACATATAGTACTACTTAGTGTTATGAAATGTTTTGAAAAGATTTTAAACGGTTAGTTTTGACTTGATTTTTGTAAACTCCTATCCCATATCCTTCACATCGTTCACAGTCGCGTCGTTTTGTAAGGTAGTTGTGGTCTATATATGTACGAAAAAAATTGAAATAAACTAGCCGTGATGGTCCTACGTATGCTGTCATGTAAATTGTCTTTATGCGCCCTTCTATATAGTATGTACTTCTATGTAAATTATAGTGTAAAGTATGTTGTATACCCTGGTCCGTTGCATTTTTTATTTATCTAATATATATATTATATATTAATTATAAGTGTGTCGTGGTGTGTGTGCGGCAGGTAGTTGCTTGGTTGTTGTTTTTGCTGTCATTTTTGAATTTAAAAAAAATATATATATATATTTTAAATTAAACAAAAAGTGAAGCAAATAAAGCGTCATTGGTTGGAATTAATGAGAGCACACTTAATGTTTACACACAAAAGAAAAAAAATATAAAATAATTTCATTTATTTGTGTTTCGTTTTTGGGGTCAGGGGTCATAGCTGTTCAAAGAATATAAAATTTGTTTAAGTGTATTTTGCTCTAGGTGGTGGTCTTCAAAACAGCCACGCCCCTGCACGCCCTTTGTACGTCCCTAAGTCATTTCGTAATTCGTTTTTTTTTAGTTCCTAGTTTGGTTGCTCAGTCGTCTTAGTTTCGTTTTTTTTTGTATATTTGAATTCAAATCCGTTTAAAATCTTTTTGATTCGTTTGGTTTTTGTATTTAATTTGCTTAAATCTAAGACCATTCTTACGCTTAATTCATAATATCACACAACACGCCAACACACGCGCGCCAAAGGAAATTCTTCATCCAGTTTCATACACAATTTATTGTGGGCTTGGGGCTTCCATCACAATCACATTCCATTTACAGGGTATATCTCAGGCATGCACACATCCTCTAAAAATATTTTAGTTTGGGCGTAGATATAGTAAGTATGTCGGACAGCCAGGCACTCAGACTTACGTACGGATAATACGCTCTCTCTCAGTCATAAGGACATTCATCATCACATTTTTCATCACACGCATTCCATTCATATTTTTTTTTTTTTTTAGTTTTTTTTTTTATACTAGGATTTGGATTAGGATTAAGGATTAAGGATGCGGGTACTATCCAATACATAAGCATTTTTCTTAAAAGCCTAAAATGTGCTACAAGTTAATGTTTCCAAGGATCTGTAATGCATAGTTTGTGTTTCTTGTTTACTTTTTTTTGAATCAATTTTTAACCGATTTTTACACTTAATTTTATCGTGACATAATTTTTTAATAACAACTTCGATTACTATGTTTTGATAATTCCTAAAATCGGGGCGACAATTGCCGTGACTGACTCCATGCAACGCAATGGCAGAAACCCCGACCTAATGGCATTCAAGGCCCATTATTTGTCAGAGGCTAGTCGGGGTTTCTATATAGATATATATATAAATCTCACATGAATTTTTAACAGAGCTTAATTTAAAATGATAGATCTTAAAAAAGAGGTTCAGAGTTTTAAGCTTAAAAGTAATATAGGTATAATAGAGGGTTTTATAAACAATGTGTCTTAAAATATACACGTTGCACAGCAACAATAGATCGGACAAACAAACTTAGCAGATAGAATCTTTTTAATCAGATAATTCGGACTGAACTGAAAGAACAGAAAGAAGAGATTTCATAAATAAACATCAAATAGTTGAGAGATTCTGGTTAAAAAAAAGAAATAAGTAGCACAGTAGTGTGTAGTAGAATTTAAAATATAATCATTAAATACTCACCAGTTTGGCTGCATAACATACAATGTTGAGGGAAACATTAACCTCTAGCAGGGATGAAATTACTGTTGAATAACCTGGGTGTTGATCTTCTTGATCTCCTTGGCGGCCCAGGTGCAGAGCATCTTGGTGCGCTGTCCCTTGGATCGCTTGCCCTCCGCCAGGAACTGGTTGATCACCACATCGTCCAGCAGCGGATATAGGGCCGGTCCAAAGGATGTACACAAGTCGCCGATAAAACCGGCGGCACTGGCCATCATCGAATCGGAGACATCGCCCTCCTCAGCGATGCGCTTAATGAAACTGATGATGTGCATCAAATGTGGTTCCATGTGCATAACGTCGGGGTGGGCGGTCTGGTCCAGGCCCTTCAGGCCCTGAATGATGCCAGTGTAGGCTTCGAGGACACTTTCGCGCAGCTCGCTGATGTACTCGTTCATGTCGTAGTTGTTGGAATCCGTCTAGGATGATGGGGATTTAGTAAAGAATTCAAGAAACTACTCTGTAAAATCTTACCTGGAGGGTGCATGCGCCGAAGAGCATTTCCAGCACCACATTCAGATACTTGACAAAGTGGCTGCCAATGCTCAGGGCGATATCTCCGAAACAAGACAAGATTTGCGGCTTAACGCTGGGATGCAGAGTCGGCTCGGAGAGGTTGAGCATCAATACGGACATGATTTCATCGCAATAGGGCACCATCAGATCCTTGAGAGCACGGAAGATGTCGCCAGTTAGACCAACGGAGGCACAGCACACTTGATACTCCTCGTGGTTCTTCAGGCCCATGATCAGGAAGTCCTTGAAGGCGGGCATGTACTTGGCGAACTGCACGCCCAAGAGCTCCACCAAGGTGGAGACGGCCAGGAAGGCATCCTCCTGCACGCCACCAGACTTGCCGGCGCTGGAGCTAAACATGGTCAGCAGAGCGGTCATAATGGCGTCCGATATTTGGGGGGCATCCTGTTCGCGAACCTTTCGCAGGACGCTCTGGAGAGTGGCACAGAGCAGGGACTGCAGATCGTTGAACTGATGGCGATCGCTGTGGTTGCTAATATGCGTCTCCATCTGCATCACCTGGTTGAGGCGCTCCAGGATCACGATAGTGGTCCGCTGCACAATCAAGTAGCAGTCCAGGGGCGAGTTCTTGATCATGTCCATCAGTGCCTCATAGGCAGCTCCCCTCAAATTGGCCTGGGCTCCATCGGATCGGTCTGTGGTCTCCAGCAGCTGGGTGATAATGTACTCGAAGTACGGGGACAGAGCATAGGTCTCTGGGGTCTCGCCCTCGGTGACCACGGCTGCCTCGTAGGCGGCATCCGACAGTCCAATGAAGGCCCAGCAAACGTTGGCCGAGACACGGGGCTCCGACTTCAGGCTCTTAACGAAGCACTCGAGCAGGGTCTGCAGATAGGTCTTGTTGATTGCCGCTTCGGGAATGATGTCGCAGATGCGTCCAAAGGTCCAGGCGGTGGTATCCCTCACAATCACACTGGTATCGTACATCAGCCGGATGAGCGTGGGCATTGCCTGCTCCACGAGCGGCTTAAGGGTGTTGGTCTCCAGGCCATTCAGAATCGATCCGAAGGTCATTACGGCGGCATCACGGAACCGCCAGTTGGGCGACTCGATGTTCTCCTTGATGAAGGGCAGGACATGCGGCACAATTTCATCCTCGCAACAGGTGGCCAGCACCATCAAACAAACGGAAGCGGCCTTGGCTGGACTCCATGTATCCTCGTCGTCGCATTCGTCCTGTTTGGTTAGTTTCTCGACGAGCACGGGAGCCAGGAACTGCAACGCGCCGCGGGCATAGTGCTTGGAGACTCGCTGTGGAGCTCGGCCCTGATCGGTGGCCTCCTGGCTTTCGATAGCCAAGTCGATCTCCTCGTCACAGACGTTGGACCAGAACTCAATGCCCTGCAAGGCAATAGCATCGTTCTCCGACTTCATGGCTGCCAGAGTGATGGGGAACAGAGCTTGCGCCATGTAGGGCTCCATGAACTGATAGTACAAGCTCATGATCTTCACCAGACACTGGAGAGCTGCCACACAGATCTGTGTATCCTGGCACTGGGTAGCTTCGCACACCACCTCCATGATAAAATTACGCTCCATGTCCTTCTCGAAGTTGGACTTGGTGAACTCCAACGAATTCAAGAGAGCCGTGGTGGCTGCCAAGCGGACGTGGTTGCTCGGCTCCACTTTCCTCATGCCATGGATGATGGCGGTCAGCACCTCGTTCGACTGACCTTCCAGAACGCCGAATCGAATGTCCTGGCAGATGTAGCCAATTGCCTCCAGAGCTGCCTCGCGATGCATTTCACTGGATGCATCGCTCACCACCTTGGTGACCAGAGTCTGGATGAGCGGGTTCCACCGGTTGATGGGTAACTCAATAACAGCCACATAGGCGACGCATTGGGCGGCACAGGATGGTCGGGTGTTCTCTGTCCCCAAAGCAGCCAGGATCTACAAAGATTATATAGTTTCAAATAAAGTATTCTTTGATAATCCAATGAAAGCTCACATTGTTCTTGATCAGCTCTCGGATCTCGCTGGGGAACTGATGCCAACGCTCCTGGTATTGTTGGCTGACTTTCTCGTCCTTGCTGGTCAGGTGGTTCTTCAGCTGGAGACCGGCTGCCATGCGGGCCACCGCGCTGTTTGTCGTATTAACTAGGATTTCGGATAGGGCCTTGAGGAACTCGGGCAGGTTGCCGTTGGCCGCCTGCTCCAGAAAGTTCTTTGCCGCCAGCAGTTCATTTTTATCTACAATTTCGAGTTTTTATTAAAAAAAAAAAAAATGAGTAATTAGTGTGAAGCATGGGAATACATGTGGGATGTAAAAAAAAAAGGCAATTAAGTTCTTATATAAAAAACTGAAGGGGGTTCCCCAGGAAAGTCTCACAAGAGGCACTAGAACTAGGCACTAGGCTAGTGGATGCACTGCTTCTGGGACTTGGAATAGATCCCTATGGAATTTGAGGTTAGGTTAGGTCGAAGAGGCCGAATTTTATAAATCCTTAATTGTAGGAGCGCGTTTATATGTTCATATATGTACATCCCCCCATACATACATAATATACTTGTTAGGTAGAAATGTACAAATGTGTGTGTGCCCCTAGCAACCAAACATATGCGAACGACTGTTGCAACCCTGCGCAACATATACAAACATACACCACCAGGCGTCCCTCCCGCCACAACGAACGAATAAAAAAAAAAAGCAGATGCCCCTGGGCTGGGGTATGATATAAAAACCAATGCATGTGTACATCATTAATGCAACTCACCTGGCGACACTGTCTTCTCCAAAATGGCAATCAGTTGCATCGCTATATCGGAAGTCATTTTTGCGCTCTTTTTTTTTTTTTTTTCTTACTTTACTTTACTTTCTATTTCGTCGCTATAGGTGTGTTGGAATTTTGCGTAATTGCAAGACAAGCGTTGAGCAGCTGCAAAGGTATCTAAAAAAAAAACAAAAGAAATTACCAACACATTAGTGTACAAGATCGATGATTTTATATTATTTTCGGGAGGGGGAGGTTGCAACACCTTGAACGTCACGAAATTGATTTTTTCGCCTTCGCACACACGCACACAGCGACGCTGAACTGAAACTGAAAACGAATCAAACTCACTTTTTTTGTTGTTGCTGCCTTCTTATAGATTCTGCACCTGCCAAAAAAGCGCGGGATACCAGGCGGTTGCTTTTTGGCGATTTTTAACGTTTTTAAATCTCACAGATTCGTTGCGACAACGCTGGCAATATATGTATCTTTTGTGGTGGCTGCCTTTCAGTGAGTTTAATGAGGAACAGGCCGGTTCTATGGATTTTATTTCTCCTCACACATGGAAAGCTTACGGCTCGGTGGCAATACTATGCGCTTCAGTAAGAAATGGCAGTTGATTTTGAATTTACTCAAAAAATATGGAGTACAAGCAATTTGTCGGGGCACTTTGTAGACAATATTTTCTTCAAATAATAGTCTGTTGAAATGGTTAAAATTTCTTAGGTAAATCGTTCAAAATTTTTCGTTTTTAAAGTATCGTCTTTTTTTCAAATAAGTTGGCAGGCATTAGAGGTGGCACTATCGATAAACTTTGTTGTTCATCGAAAACTATCGTTACTTTGACAGCTCTAGCTCGTACTAGGTGCTGACGTTCGGCCAAATAATAAGAAACGTAGTTAAAAACACTTGAAAAACGGAATTTTTCGACATATAAACTGCTAAAGCGGTTTTCCCGGGCACCGCTATTGGGAAGCTGTGTGGAGGATTGCAGGATACTGCCGTCGCAAAGGCCACGTTGCCTATCATTTCAAACAAAAAGGGCGAAGCCGAGTAGCCCAACCTGCTATTGCTGCTGGTGATTTTTTTCCGATCCAAATTCAAGATGAACCTGCTCTCCGACTTCTTCAGGGGTCTATATCCACTACTGGGACTCATCCTGCTACAGATTCTGACTCCGGCCCTGGCATTCTATCTGCCCGGCTTGGCACCGGTTAACTTCTGTAAGAAAACCGACGTCTCAACCACATGCAAGGTATATTCTACATGTATACGTTTTGGGTGGGTGGGCGTGTGTGTTTGTGCGTTCGTCTGCAACAAAAACAATAAGCAAAAACCAGTGGGTACTACAATTAGTTATAGCGTATGTACTAGTTTCTAATGGCAGTGGGAAAGCGGAAGAGCTCTGATAAGGCCCTGCGGTCGTCAAGTTCTTCTGATATGCTGGCTCTCCACATCTCCGGGTTCTCTACTGCGTCTGCTACTGGTGCTGCTGACGTCGACGTTGGACACGATGCTGAAATGCTAAAGTTCTGAATTTGACGAGGCTTGTTAGCTCAGGTGGCAGGTTGAATGCAGGTTAATTTCTGCAGAAAATAAAAGACTAAGTTAACAAAGAAAGGCTTTCAAATGCCTATAAGATCTTTGAAATATGAACCGAAAATGGTTTTATTTCCTGTTTGAAAAGTTGTTTAGATCATAATATAGATTGCTTCTTGTTAAAATCATTAAATTTATCGAGTCTGAATAGTAGAAAGTTTTTATCGCCGAATAGAGACTAAAGCCTTGACTATTTTTATAGTTATATGGGGCCTCCCCGGTTTCTGAGAACTTTGGGGAAAATAAAAAGGAGGGTGCATAAGGAATTTAATCGGAAAAGGTTTGCGAGAATCTAGTTTTGTTTGTTTTTTATTAAATTTAGTTATAAAGTTTATTATTTCCATTAATTTCAAGTCAAGACATTTCAATTTTCGTTTTGATAAAAACTATAATGATAAAAGTCTTTCAATTGTTGGTGGTTATTAGTTACCAACCGGCCAAAATCAATTAACTTATTATTTCCCAAACAATGTTTGTTAATATCGCTAGCAACATGTTTGAAATCATAGTACAGGTAACCTATTTCAATGACTCTTATTTGTGAGAATGTGAGAACCAGATAAGATTAAAGTAAAAACCATAATTTTCCAGGAATCTATACAATTACTTATATATCTATTATTGGTAATCTTTTCCAGTCTGATGTAATCTTGTACGTTAACCGTTTAAATACCGAGGAATCCGTAATTCCCTACGAATATCATCACTTTGATTTCTGTTTGGGCAAGGAGGAGAACTCGCCAGTGGAGAATCTGGGACAGGTGGTCTTCGGTGAACGTATACGACCCGGGCCATATAAAATTCAGTTCTTGGAGAACCAGCAATGTGCTGTGGTAAGTATTAGATATTATTTAAAGACATTTTTTTAGAAAATTTCTTTTAAACCACTTCTTAGGCATGCACCAAGGTGTACAAGGGTGGCGATCCCATCAGCCATCGCAAGATGATGGTCTTGAAGAAGGGCATCAGCTTGAACTACCAGCATCACTGGATTGTGGACAACATGCCAGTCACTTGGTGCTATCCCCTGGAGAATGGAAAGCAATACTGCGGCACCGGTTTCCCCATGGGCTGTTTGGTTCGTCCCGATGGCGAGGGCTGCCCCATTAACTCGATCTACAATCAACCCTTGCACTACTATCCCTTCAATCATGTGGATCTGGAGATCACATACCACAGTGGGCAACTGGAGGAATGGGGCATTGGCTTTGGCAACAGTGGTCGCATCATTTCCGTAAAGGTTACTCCCAAATCCATCAAGCACACCGATCCCAAGAATCCCAATTGTTTGAGCACTGATCCGTTGGCCATTAGCGAGACTGCATTAAAGGACGGGGAAGAGTTGAACATTATCTATACCTACAGTGTGAAGTTTATCAAGAACGATTCCATCAAGTGGTCCTCCCGTTGGGATTACATTCTGGAGTCCATGCCCCACACGAATATCCAATGGTTCTCGATCCTCAACTCACTGGTGATTGTTCTTTTCCTGAGCGGTATGGTGGCCATGATTATGCTGCGTACTCTGCATAAGGACATTGCCAGGTACAACCAGATGGACAGCGGCGAGGATGCCCAGGAGGAGTTCGGCTGGAAGCTGGTCCATGGTGATGTGTTTAGGCCGCCGCGAAAGGGCATGCTGCTGTCCATTTTCCTGGGTTCTGGTGTCCAGGTCCTGGTCATGTCAATGATTACATTGGCTTTCGCCTGTTTGGGTTTCCTGTCGCCTGCCAATCGTGGCGCCCTGATGACCTGCTCCATGGTTTTGTTCGTTTCCCTGGGCACCCCGGCTGGTTATGTCTCGGCGCGTATCTACAAGAGTTTCGGCGGCCTCAAGTGGAAGAGCAATGTGATCCTTACCTCCATCGTATGCCCCGGGTGAGTGGTTGGATAGCCAGAACGAGAATTGGTATATATTATTAATATTTGTGATATTCTAGAGTGGTATTCTCGCTATTCTTTGTGATGAACTTGGTCTTGTGGGGCGAGAATAGCTCGGGAGCTGTCCCCTTCAGCACTTTGGTAGCCTTGTTGGCCTTGTGGTTTGGCGTTTCGGTGCCATTGACCTTTGTGGGAGCCTACTTTGGATTCCGCAAGCGGGTGAGTTTCTCAATCACTCGCATACTGACAAAATTTTACATTTAAAATATATTTTTCAGGCCCTGGAGCACCCGGTGCGCACTAACCAGATTCCTCGCCAGATTCCCGACCAATCGATTTATACCCAACCCATTCCCGGCATTGTGATGGGCGGAGTTCTGCCCTTCGGCTGCATCTTCATCCAGCTGTTCTTCATTCTCAGCTCCCTGTGGTCAAATCAAATGTATTACATGTTCGGCTTCCTGTTCCTGGTCTTTCTCATTTTGGTCATCACGTGCTCTGAGACGACGATCCTGCTGTGCTATTTCCATTTGTGTGCAGAGGACTATCATTGGTGGTGGCGCTCCTTCCTGACGTCCGGCTTCACAGCCGTCTATCTGTTCATCTACTGCTGTCACTACTTTGTGACAAAGCTCTCAATCAAGGACAGCGCCTCGACGTTCCTGTATTTCGGTTACACGGCCATCATGGTATTCCTCTTCTTTTTGCTCACCGGCACCATTGGCTTCTTCGCGTGCTTCTGGTTCATACGCAAGATCTACAGCGTGGTCAAAGTGGATTAAGGGGATCAAAACGCCAACAGATGGAGGATGATGAATGGAGTCCGTGCAAAAATGTATTTTTGTATGTGTAGCCACAAATTTACACTTAAGCCTAATGTGTGTGTGATTTCTGCGCTGTGCGCCCGGCAGTGTCAGTTTTCTGTTTATTATAATTACGATTGTACGATGTACGATATGTACAATAACATATATTTGTATCAGGCATGGAATAACGTGGAGTAACGAAGCGCGCAATAATCTTTAAGCAGTAAGGAGGGCCGACGAGGGCATCTTTTGTATAGTTCACAGAATTTTTTTGTTAATCTTTAGGCGTAAAGTTTAGCAATGTCCATTTCCCGCTTTAGCAACGATTCCAAAACAAAAGAAAACCCTTTAAAAAAAAACAAAACAAATGAAGTCCAGATAGGAAAGTACTGACCCGCAAACCGCTGACCGAAGTACTTTAAACACCGTTCTCTACTTGTAATATCAAAGCCTAACAACTGTAATTAGTGGCTCGTCTTAGCCGTAATTCGAGCAGGATTTAATTCACGTGTAATATTTTAAATACTTTAGTTTAAACTATTTAAATCTAACTTGCGACTAAAGAATAAACAAAAATATAAATTATAAAAAAAAAAATGGAGACGCCCTCTGGTGCCAAGTTTTACTCGTTGGTTGTTGGGTTGGAAATGTCACCTTTCAGGCCAACCCTTGCCCAAAAGTGACAGTTCAGCTGGGTCTTTTTGTGGCTTCACCCACAAAGACTGGCCAGACCGACCGACCAGCCAGTGCGAATAAACGTTTCCAGTCCAGAGCTTGGCTATCCGGCGCATCCATGTCGGATATTGAGGACAGCGATGTGGATGAATACGATGAGCTGTCGGAGCTGCGACAAAAACAGCAACAATTCCAGAAGGCTCCCGACTCCCAGACTTCCGTGGATGTAGGTACCTTCTACGATATGGTATCTTAACAGTCTAAGCTTTTATGGTTACAGGAAGCCTTCGATTTGGACGACCTGCTGCCCACAATTGGCGAATTTGGAAAATACCAAAAGCTATTGGTCTTTGGGATTTGCCTGCCCGCCTGCATTCCGTGCGGGTTTTGTGCTTTTAATCAGCTCTTTATGGCCGATACTCCGGATGACTATTGGTGTCGCGTTCCGGAGCTGCTGGATCTGCCGCTGGAGCAGCGAAAAACCCTGGCCATACCCAAGGAATTGGTGAGTAACGACGGTGGCAGCCATACGAGTGCTAAGGTTATCAAGTCAGGCCATTGATTGTGCGTTTGGCGGGGTGAAATGTCAATACGAGGGTGGTTAGATGAGTAATCAAGAGGTCAAATGACGAAATGGCCAGGTTAAGGGAATCGAAGCAGGTAATTTGATATCGATTTTCAAAAGGGGGTCTGTCTATTACATATAAAAATGATTTTTAAAAGTCCTATTTCATGCGAACCTTTTCAGGAAAACGATGAACTGGTTTACAGCAAGTGTCTCACCTACGGAGTTAATTGGACCCAATTACTGGATTCCGGGGAAGTGGATGACCTGACCATGATGGAGCCCAACAGCAGTTGGCCTTTGGTCAAGTGCAGCCAGGGCTGGGAATACAACACTAGCATCGTCTGGTCCTCCATAGTGATTGATGTGCGCAGTGCCAGATGCTACTATTACTCTTCCAAAATCATTCATACTTCATGTAGGAGAAGCTTGTGACATTCCCCGAGGCATTCAGATAGCCGGGATATATCTACCTATAAAATAACTTAACCCTATCCCGTTTTACAGTTCGATTTAGTTTGCGATCAGGATATATATCCCACTATTGGCTTGGCGGCTCTGAATACTGGCGGACCTGTGGGGGTTTATCTATTTGGCTTGCTGAACGATCGGGCTGGGAGGAGGCTTTCCTACTTCACCTGCCTGGCCACCTTGCTGGCCGGAAGCTTGATGACTTCGCTGAGCAAGGATTTCTGGACCTGGGCAGGAAGCCGGGTCATTGTGGGTCTCACCATACCAGCTGTCTATCAGATACCCTTTATTATTTGTGAGTATCTGAGATACCTTAGGAACATTCTTTAAATATCCTATCTTCCAGCTCTCGAACTGGTTGGAGAAAACTATCGTTCCTTTGTGACCGTGATGACCTGCACCTTTTACACTTCTGGCATCATGTTGCTCTCAGTGGTCACATATCTGGAACGAGATTGGGTGCGTCTCTCGTACATCACCTCCCTGCCATTCTATGCCTATTTCCTGTACATGTTCGTAATGCCAGAGTCCCCGAGGTGGCTTCTGATGCGCGGACGCCTCGAGGAGGCTCTCAAAATTTTGGAGCGTATGGCCACGGTGAATGGCCGACAGTTTCCCGAGGCAGTGCATCTCAAGCTGGAGGCTCAAATCCGAAGGGATAAGCTCAAAAAGCAGAAGAAAAAAGTGGCCAACGTGGGTCTCATGGATCTCTGTCGCACGCCCAACATGCGACTAAAGACTATACTGATTACTCTGAGCTGGTTCGCCAATGAGACGGTCTATCTGGGACTGAGTTACTATGGCCCTTCCCTAGGAACCAATCAGTATGTGAGCTTCTTCCTGTCCGCCGTAGTGGAGCTACCAAGCTACCTGTGCTGCTGGTACTTTATGGACACCTGGGGAAGGCGATGGCCTTTGAGCTTGTCCATGATTTTGGGGTAATCTTTGGGGCTTATAGATTTCTAGCAAATATTTCTTAATTCCCATTTCAGGGGCGTGGCTTGTGTTATAACCGTAATGCTACCCGATGACGCCGTGGATGAGACCCTGGTTCTATATCTCATATCCAAAGCCCTCCTGTCCGCTTCGTTCCTGATTATTTATCCCTTCGCCGGAGAACTGTATCCCACTCAAGTGCGTGGCATTGGAATTGGAGCTTCCAGTTATATTGGAGGCTTGGGCCTGATCGTCATACCCTTTGTGACCTATTTGGGCAAGGAGAACCTGAAACTCCCTTTGGTTATTATGGGCTTTGTTTCGATGCTGGGCGGGATGACGGGCTTACGATTGCCGGAGACACTGCATCATCGTCTGCCACAAACCATCGAGGAGGGCGAAGAGTTTGGAAAAAATTGGCAATTCAAGGATTGCTGCAGTTGTGCTAAAAAGCCGTGAGTTTTCAAAAGGACTTTTATTTTTAATTATCATATATAATAGACTCCAATGCCCTTCCACAGGGATGTTATGTCGCAACCGCCTTCCTATGAAAACCTAGATGTCCTGGCTGGGTCATCCAATACTGCCTCCGAGGTGGAACTGGAGCTGAGGGACAGTCGAAGGGTCAGGGATCCTGCTCCTCGGATCGATGAACGCACACCACTGGATACGTCGTCCGGCAGTGGTGTTCGGCCCGTTCATCGTCCATCCATGAAGAGATTAGTGCGCCAGATGAGCATCATGGATACCCAGAGGACTCATGACGGCACCATGCAGTTGACCCATTGGATTTAAACAGGAATTATAGATAAATAATTATCCTTTATGATTATCAAGCACTATTTTTTCATTTAAATAACTAAGTTCTGTCCTAGTTAATTAATCTTAAATGCACAATGTAAGCAATTACAATTAAATGTGTATAAAATATAAACAAATAAACAACCTTAACAAAAAGTATTTAAAGGAAATGGAAATATCTAATTAGAAAGCAATCATTTAATTAGAAAACTTGTCCTTAATTTTGTTCCTTTTGCTTTAATTGTAGGGCATTTCTAATAGTACGTTAGGTTGTTTACTCAAAACTTGAATAATTAAAAACAAAAAAAAAGGTAAACAAAAACCGAAACTTAATTCTTCCAAACATATCCGGTAAAAATAAATAAATAAATAATTATGGAGCATATAGCATTTGGCTTGGCGAGCTTGAGAAAACATTTCCATTGATTTATTCATTTATTCCAACAATTATGCAATTAATTGTTGTCAAACAAAAGGAAAAACTTGTTTATTGTAGAGGAATAATAGAGGAATGCGAGAAATTGCTCGCAGCTGTCGGTCGGAAACTTCTGTCGGTCAGTGTCAGTCATAGGGAAGTGCCGGGACGACCCATGGGAATTATAACATACCCAGTGTTGGGCATGAAATTTCCTAAAAAACACTGAACCGATCCACATGTCAAAAATGTAAGAATTGAAATTTTCAGTACAAGTACACAAAGTGAAAGAATGCCTAAAACCAAATCGACCCTGAAATCAGGGACCCCAAGAAGAGCTCTTCCGCGACCTATAAGGTTAGCTCGATCACCACCGTTTCCACTGCCGATGCCGATTACATTTACCACGAAGTTGATGGACATGCCCGAGGACATAATCCTCCGGCTGTACGACTTTCTGCCCTCCCTGGCGGATAAGGTGCGTCTGGCCTGTGTGTCGTCCAAATTCCATGGCGCCTTCGCATGCTGGTCCCGCACTCAGCGCCACAGCCTGGACGTGGAGCAGCTGGAGCCGATGAGTCTGAGGGAACTCATTTGTTTCTTCAGGGTTACTGGGCCCTATATTCGCATTCTTCACGTGGACTGTGCCGCCTTCCAAAAGGAATCCCTGTTGGTGGAGTTCATTTCAGAGTTTTGTCCTAACCTCGAGGAGATCTTCTACACAAACGTCACCGATGAGTTCCACTATCGCACTATTATGTCAAAAATGACGCGTCTCAAGAAGGTCTCCATCGATTGCATGGACGCCGAGGATGTCCTCAACTTTGACTTGGAGAAGAACCAGAATCTGGAGCATTTTGAGCTGGTGAACGGTTGCTATACTGGTGGGTTGCCGTAATATCTGGATTATTGAATATAATTGAATTATTATTTTAGGAAAACATCTATGCGGCTTTCCCAACCTTAAAACTCTGGTCCTTCGAGACTGCCTTCTGTGGAATTCGGGAGAGTTTGGAATACCTCTGAAAACATTAAAGGTCTTGAACCTGGACGACTGCTGCTTCGAGGTGATGAACCAGAGCTTGTACCAGAAGATCGCCGAGTGCAGCTTGGAGCTGGAGGAGCTTTCCTTTTCCGGTTGCGATACCAACTTCGAGGTTATAGCCGCTTTGCCGAACCTTCGGAAGTGTACACTGAAAACCTGGATGACTTCCAACGAGCTGAACATCGGATTTCTAACCGTTCTCTCCGAGAACAAAGGCAGCCAGCTGACCCACTTGCATTTGTCTGGACAGTTCCAGATCTCCAATGAGCACGCCCGGTGCCTGGGACAGTTGAGTTCGCTCAAGGATCTGCGGTGGTCCAACAACGATGTCCTCGAGGACGATCACTTCAAGTTCTTCAACGATCTTAGCCAGCTGGAAGCTTTTGGCCTGACATGGTGTGGCCGGGTAATGGACTTGGGGATGATGCGTCTCATCCGCAAGTGTCTCCAACTGAAGGTCATTGATTTGAGTGACTGCGAGGAGATCACCGATGAGTTTATCCTGAATGCCATTGCATATTGTGCCAAGGGTGCGGGTCGCAAGTTGGTGATTAATGCCAAAGGCACCAGGATCACAAACTCTGTCCTAGAAGTGAGTTAAGATTTTTATTTAAAATTATAAATAATGTCTAATGTTTATCATATCTTTCCAGCACGCTGATTACCTCTCACCCACGAACAATGTTAAGTTAAATATTCTTCCAGATTTTTGAAAATATGATTTATTTCAATTAAAGCCATACATATACAGAAAAGATAGAATATAACTCTATTTTATAATATTTTCATTTTAAACCTTTAAGCTTAAAAGGCTTACGAACCACCATTCCTGGAGCACTTTGTGTGGGAGCGTTTGAGAATGAGATTCCTTGCCATAATTGGCACACCACCCGGTGCCCTTGGATTGGCCTGATATTTGAACAATCGCCAAGACAATGGGATCCTCACCGGCACACTGACTCATTTCTAGACTTCAGCCTGGCCGGCCATAAGGAAGTGGCCCGGTAGATCCCAACTGCGGAGGTGATCAATATTTATGATCATGCTCACAATGCTCCATTAGTTTTGCGATAATTGCCGACAAGCGTGTGTGTTCCGTTGCACTTGGGCCTTTTGGGTTTCTAATAAGAAATAAAATGGTAATGGAAGCAGGCCGGCAAACAAACAAAAAAATAAAGGAAAAAAATATCAAACAATACGATATTCGATACAGTTCGAAATCAGCGATTCAATTCGATTCGAACGATCGCTGGCAATAAATTTCTCGTTCAATTGTTGGAAGTGAACTTTGTGGCTTTGGCCGATGATGTCTGATGTCTGTGTTAGCAGCAGTAACAGCAGGAAGCTGCCAAAGCGGACCAGTCCAGATCATAGACCAGTTGGTTACACTTGGAACATGGATATTTCTATTATTAAATAAAATTCAGTGGAAAACATAACACCACTCTTCAAGAAACCTCTTTTAATCTCTAACTTTGTGGATGGAGAACCTAAACTTATTCAATAAGTTTTCATTTTATATTAATTATTTTATTTTCAAGTGCATATCATAGATCAGACTCACCTGTGGCCAGTCCATTGGTTAGTCATCCAATTTCCCCCTTCAGATCCCGCTGGTTCCTAGCATTTTTTTATGTTTCAGACTGACCTCGAGTGGCTCCTTAAATGGCTGTCGGCAGCAATCGCTTTGACTCTAAAATCAGGGGGTTATTGGTACGAGTACCCCCCTGACAAATACCTTGACATGTTCAGGTGTCTGCCGTGTTCGACTAACTGACTAATTAGTGTACTTTAACTGGACCAAAACTCGATGGCATTTGACTAAAAAACCAACATGCCATGGCGCATCTTGAAAAGAGATTGCATGTATAAAGTAAATTAAGCAGGGATAGGAATTTTTAAGAGCCTCCCCCTTAATTTTATATATATATATTATTATTTTTTTTTAAATAGATATAGTCAAAGCGTGTCCAATCACGCCTGTGAATTATTTAAAAATCTCTGGCGGGCTGTCTTATTTCATAAGAGAGACAAGCCTTAAAATTGTTACCCTGATGCCATAGAAATTCGTGTTGTCGTAGTTGTTCATTGTTGTTGTTATTAATGCTTTTTGTTTTTGTTGTTGGTACTATTGTTGGAGGCCTTACGATTATGGGAAATGGCTTTTGCTATCGCTTAGCACACCTTTCGATAGATGAACTTTTGCTGTCGCCTAACGCCTGGGAAGAACCTCAAAAAGTGGGCGGGAATCGGGAGGTTGTTTAAACTTTATAGGTTGAGGCGGAAGTTTAACCATCCATTTCCATTAAGAGATTCATAAATATAAAATTCTCTTTAAAATATTCTCTTAAACCAAGATAAGAACCACCACCCCCCATTATCTAATTAAGCATTTCTTTTTTTCTGTGAAATCATAAAGCCATTTAATTAATATGATTGCTTTAATTTTTAATGGAGATAAGCTAGTCTAAGTTTTCACTGTTTTCGGCTTAATGGCTTTGAACTTTCTTTTCATTATCGGTAGACTGATAGTACTGATGGTTCTTATAAAAGCCAGAAGCCAATGCGTTTTGGACTCAATCATGTTCAGGCAGCTCACATTTATTTGCACGCTCTTGGCTTTAATTTTGACTCTAACAGCTTCAGTTTGTCCCCCTTTATTTACCGAAGTGGGGAAAAAATGTTACTATGTGGGTGAAGAAAAGGTAAGTGATAACATGTGATGTGATTACCATAAAATATTAAAATTAAATATATCAATTGTAGGTTAATTGGCATGTAGCTTCTCGCAAATGTGGCCAACTCGGAGGCGAATTGATGGTTCTGGATGACAATGAGGATCGCCTTTTGGCAACTAATTTCCTCAAGAGTCAGGGATATTTTGCCAACGACACGTGGACGAGTGTATTGTGGGTCGGTATTGATTGTCTAGGAAATCGACGAAACTTTCTGAAATCAAAAAATGGTGAAGTTCCCTACCTGCCATGGGTACCTTATGATCCAAATAACTATCACCCTGAGGAGGACTGTGTGGGTTTTGCCTACTTTCGTGAGTCCTACGGTTATATGGACTTCCAATGCGAATACAAGACTCCTTATGTATGTCAACATCCAAAAATTAAAGAAAGATATGTGTGCCTCAAAAAAGAACAATTTCTGGAGGTGCTCCTTTGAAGAAAACATTAAATCAGTTTGACTAAATATTTTATTCCCAACTCAATTTTAAAAATTAAAAAAAAAACATCTTATTTCCAATGTAATTCTTGAAAAACAATTATTTCCATCGATAACTAATACATTTTTATGAGACACCCACCAGAAAATGCAGTGAACGACCCACTTTGTTTTGTTTTCGCAAATTATTTTGTGGCACGCCACATGCTGCAATAATAATAACAACATTGTGGCAACAGCTAAGACTTGCCAACATTAATTTAATATTAAAATTACAATATTTTCGTTTCTCTTTTTTTTTGGGGTTTTTTTTGTGACTTGGGCAGATCCAAAAATGCATTCATTTGATTCTTCGGAGATGTTTTCATGCACGATTTTCGGGGACTTGGCGATTTTTGTTGCATGGTTAATGTTGCTTTAGATGATGATGATGATCGTTCATCATGATGATGATGATGCAAAAGTTAATTTTCGGTATGCACACTCCTTGTTCTACGATTTCTTGGCTGATGAACTTTTTGGTGAAATCGTTGGCTGGAAGCGAATGATTGGCACATTAGCAACAAATTGTTAGTACATCTTATTTAAGCCGTTTAATTAATTCCGTGAATTCTGATTGGATTGGGCAAAAAAAATTAAAGAATAAAATGCAGAAAATAAAATCATGAGTGGCTAGCTTAAATCTTAAGGTTACAGCGACTTTGGGAATGCTCTTCAATTTTTAGAGAAGGCTTTTTAAAGTTTGTGGAATAAGTCTTAAGTCTTAAGTCTATAAACTCCATATAAAAACTAATATGACAAGTTTCACGAAGTGAGGTTTCCAGCTTCGAGCATCTTTGGGCCAACATCTTTGGCCAATTGGCAGTCGAAGACGTGCCTAGGCTTGTCAAGGTGCTCCGTCTTAGCCAGGTTCCGATCTCCACAGTTCATATATATATGTATATAGTATGTTGGGGGCACACATACAATATCAAAATAGAAATAGAAGCTACCTTCAATTTGACAAAAGCCGCTGGCAGACAACGCGATTGCATGTTCTTTGCCTTTCAATTGCTGACCAAGTTCTCCGTCCTGCAAGCCACTATCAATTGATACAAATCTATGCAATTTTAGAATATAGAGACATAAAACATGGTCCACTGGGGACCACAGACCGAGGACTGAGGTCTGAGGACTGGGGGCCAGCTATTGCCACACTGAATGTCAATAAATAATACAGTGAAGCCTGTTAAATGAGTGTATATATACAGTTACAGTAAAGTAACATACACACCGACAGAACATATCGGTTTGAGACAGGTCGAGGTCGCCTTGAAAGTCCGTTTGGAGTGCCGCAGGTGAGAAAATGGCCAAAAGATGCCACATTGTTGCCTCTAAACATGCAACTAGTTGCCAATTGGGCACTGAAATAAAATATTATATTATTTTATACTCAAATGAATATTAAAAAGAAGCTATAAAATATCCAAAAAAATTAACTTGGAAAGCTTAAGATTATATAATGATTTTTTATTATCATTTTTAGGGTTACCAAGTTTATGGTTTATAATTGGTTACCGGTTACCTAACTAATTAGTTGTACAACCAAAGTTTAATAAAAATAATTATCCTTACTTTCTAAAATGTTTTTATATATGATATATAAATTGTTGGCAGTGTTACGAGTGGAATCTTCTGCCATCTTGGGAAGCCAGCAATAGCAATTGGAGCTGCCTGTGGTTCTGTCTAGAACATCGTGTGCTCTTTATCACTGACAGATTGTACTGGCCATTTAATTTATGGCGATTCTCACATGCAGCAGGTCCCCCAATCCCCTCTAGGTCCACTCTAATTGAAGATTGTTAGATCTTACGGTGGTAGACTATACATAGACTGTATAGACAGTATAGACTGAAAAAAAAAATAACTATGATGGTATCGAATTGCCGGGGGCCGAATGGGGCATTCGAGTTATTCAATCCATTTGCTTGGGCAACCTTTAGAACATCATCCATCCGCATAAATCAATTGTTGATTGCGATTTACAAATGATGCGGATTTGTGATCTCTTACTGGAGTGCCAACTACTTGCACTTCCCTAATGCCATTCCATTATAATTCATTTCAATGTCAAGTGATGGCCGGAGTAGGACCTTTAACTGTCTCATTAATCAGTTTTCAGTGACACGGATGTGGGTTTAGGGAATACCCCTTTCCTAAGAACAAGAAGTAAAGATAAATACTTATATTTTAAATTTAAAGCCATATCCATAAGCATTGCTTAAAAATTTTCATTGTTAATATATGCCTTTGTTATTTTCAGCTCTTGCCTGTCCAACTTCCCATGCAATTTATGTCACGCTGCATTTTTATGGTCACTGCAGACTATTTTTACCACACGAGCCCAGCCTAGGCAGCAAAAGGACGAAAAGGAATGTGTTTATAAAAAAATATTGGATCCGGAGGAGAGCCGAGATGGCAGGGGGGGTCTAAGCCACGGCACGTGTAGTTATCCTTTGGCTATTTTCGTGCACTTCCGTTGCAATGGAGCGGAAACCGAAACCATGACATCATGAACGGGAGCTCGGGACAGGCTGTTCAAAATAGACCATACCACCCACTCGGCCAGGAGTGACGTCAGACGAGAGCAGGACAACTGGTGTCACAACAACGACGTCATCAATGAGTGTTGTGGTAGTTGGGCCCAAGTGCGAAAGAGAAGTTGGCAACTGAGCAGCCGGCCGGTATTTCTCTGCCTACTCACCTGGCTCACCTGTATCCTACCCGGTCTCTTCGTCCCCCCCTGACATCCATCAGTTCATTCATTCATTCATGCCCACCATCTGCGGTCTCGCTCGGCTGGCATGGCGCATGTCCACGCTCCAGCGAAACTGATGACGTCTTTGTTTTGTGGCAATCGATTATAGCCGGAGTGCGGTGCACACTGTTTTCCCATATGACGTCACTAAATGCGTGCCGTTATCCGGCAGCCGACAAGCCAGCCGTGTGCGTCGGACTATAAATAATTCACGGCAATTATCGCTAGGAAATTGCTAATCGACAAAGTTAATTGATGGTCCTGAAAATGTATCTGAAACCGAAACAGGAGCCCAACCGCATCCGTGGGCTAATGAGATTCTGTGGTAACCAGATCCTTCTCATAAAGGTGTTGTTTTTGTTTGTTTTTCTTGGTTTTTGTGGGTGGCTTTTTTTGCTTTTAAAGGAATTTTTGCTTTTAAAGGAAGCTTCTTCCATAAAATCGATTTTAAACTTCATGTATGTGTATTTTAAAGAAAATTAAATTTCAAGAAATAAACTACATACATAATCTAGTTTAAGGATTAGCCCTTTAGTTTTTTCAGGGTAATAAAATATCTAATTAATAAAGCCAAATAACTCTCTATTTAATAACTCTTATTTACCCTCAAACTAACTTAGTATTTCGACAAAATAAACTTAAATACCCCCTTAAATAATAATGAACTAATTAAGGACCATTTTCATATGACGTAATGAAATAAGAAACGCCATCGAAGCCCAAATCACAGTGATCATCCATAATTCAGAGCCAAACTGCTTAGGTAAAGTAATTACAGTCCCGTTCGATTGGAAAACTAATAATTACTAGTGGCGTGGTTAATCCCAGGCACTTACTACATATACACCATCCTCGATTACCCATCCCTGACCCTGCTATTGATTTTACACGCATTATCCACTTATCCTCCGTATATACATTTTTTTGTATTTATTTTTCTGGCCCGGTATCTATAATTTTGGGCTTGTCCTCTGAGGTCAAAGACACATACAGCCAACAAAACGCCGGTAAAGTCAATGTATCTATATGGTATTCTATCGCTTGCGTGCTACTGGGTCTCAGCCGACGTCATATCGTAGAGGATATATCATTTTTTTGTGTGTGTCACATCCAAAAGGGGGCTGGAGCTGCGTCAGTTCTACCATTCTATTGATAACATGGCCAGGTAGAGATACCAGTGTAACATATTTAATGGGATACACTATCAAATGCATAAAGTACAATATATAGAAGATAATAAAATTTATAAAAATCTGTATTAAAAGTCTATTAATCATATTAAATTTAATAAAATTAGTAAATATATCTAAGTAATAATATTACAATTTGTAGCTTTATCAAAAAAACATAATTTTACTTTTTTCAGTGCACAGACAGATAACAAAAACGAAAAAACAACAAAAAGGACGAACCAACCACACAAAAGTGTTGCCTACTTAGGGGCGTGCGTGACGAAAATGCGAAGCAGCCACACCGTCGGGCATTCGCAGAGATAGGAGTGGGTGCTGTTGGCCATGACAAGTAGTAGACGTGACGCGGTCAAGACGCAGCGGAAGCAGATCATAAAATCAATGCCGCACTTCCGTTCAGTTGTTCCTGCTTTGGCTTTTGCTTTAACTGGCAACTGGCAACTGGCATGGCTATTGCGTGTCGATTGTTGCGTAGGGAATTCAACTCCGTGGCAGGCAACAAGGGGGTGGATGGCTTGGCTGGTTGGTATTCTCAAGGTCGTTGTTGTCAGGATTAATGGGATAAGTTGTGCACTTGAGCGGTGGAGCAAGAAATAAATGGAAGCTCTTTAAATCTAAAGAGGTTTTCAAGCTGAAAAATAAAGGAAGGATTAAGTCATAAAAACTTTGATTTTTTCACACAAATTATCTAGTTTTAAATCTTTTTTTGTCATAAACTATCTGCCACCCCCTGGAACTCCTACAATATTTAGTTGTGAGTCCGTAAATCATCAACCTAACCATCGATTTAACCCACTTGTAACCACAAATGTGCATTGCCTCATTCCCAAATGCAGTTGTTCGTTCAGCGAGGGAGTAACTCATGCCAACTGGGCGTATACTTGATGATATTATGACATGTTCGCCCCGCACACCCTTTCCACCCCAACCAAATGTTATTTAGCCACAAAATAGCACTAAATTGCAACGGCAAAAAGGAATCCACCTATATATTTATGTAAAGTTACAAATATTAATAGCCAAACGAAGTCAGAAATGGAGCCCCAAAAAAAAAATAATGACAATAATTCGCCACAAAATGCACCTGCAGGCTAAGCAGTCAGCGAAGTTTTAAGTTTCGTTTTCTTTTTGTGAATTTTGTGTTTTTAGTCTGGCTAGAGGAAGTCACTATTTTTGGGCAAGGCTAGGCTGAGCAAGACAGTCTGCCAGGAGGCGCATCGAAAGTGAGGTCTTTAAATATAAAAAAAGGGTTGGCGAATCCCCAAATGCAATTTATGCAAATGAGCCAAGAGGCGCCGTTGCAAATGCGGCACCAACAAATAAAAGAAGAAAAAAAAAAAACAACAATGCAAAGTGCCGCATGCTAATTGAAATTTACAACAAGTAATGGGAGGAGTGAGGTTGAGGGGGTGGTATAGGGAGGGGTTCCGAAATCAAAGCCTAAATAGCAATCAAAAAGAGCAAAAATTCCTTAAATTAAACTCACGAACTCTCGGCGCAACGATGCGAAAATGATACATGCATTAAGGCCCAGCCAAGTGGAGTTGGCCAAAACGAAGCCAGCAAATTTGGCTCGGTACATTTAGAATATCATCACAGTGCAACCAACAACAATAAATAATAGACAAAAGGCAGAGAGACAAAAGCAAGGAGTGCCAAAAAGTTGCCTTCGACTGAGGCTTCGACTTCGACTTCGGCATCGGCAACGGCATCGACTTTGGCTTGGCATGTCATGCTTAATACAGCCAATAAAATCACCATCCCTCCCTCCTTAACTGCCCCCTCAAACAATAACAGCAACAACAATAACAATAGCAATGGACACTCTGTGGAAGCCACTAAACAACAACAACAATAACAAAACGCAAAAACAACAGAAACACAGAGACTCCAACGCCAAGCTGTTTGCATGCACTTTTTGGGGCCACGAGCGGGTCAGCCAACATCCAACAACAGCAGCACTAAGGCACTGGCACTGGCACTAGCACTAGCTTGTAGCACCACTAAACCACCATACCACCATCACTCCCCCCCCCACTGCCAAAAGGAACCGAAAAACTAGGAAAACCTAGGGCCACAGTGGTTCGGGTTTAATTCTTAGGTTTGGGTGGGAATTATATTATGTCTTTTTTGGCTTTTAATTTTTTAAAAATTTTGTTTAATTTATTTCATTATGTTGTTTTTTTATTACATGATTTTTAAGTTTAGAAAAGAAATTTCTTAATGAAGCATAGACGCCATCTTTGATTAAAGACCATCTTTCTAAATGGCTGACCTTTTATTTCCGGGCACTTTTATAACAGATTAAATACTATTTTGTTATATTTTCTTTATATATCATAAAGAATATTAGTGAAATATTAAAGAAATTAAAGTTTAGAAAATATATTTAAATAGTTCTTCAACAAAATACAAAATAAGATTAATAACCAAAAATCTAAACACCAATAACCACTGTCCTTGAGCTGCTATAGTACATGCATGGTGGTGCCTGCCACAGACCAGTTCCACTTGCGTCGCTCCCAAAATCCAACTAATATATATGTATATGAGAAGCCGCACCACACCACACCACACCACACCAGACCAGACCATGCCACCGCCATCGTGCCCGATCCCCTAGAGCCACGGCTAAAAGTCGAAGCCGGACCCAGGCAAAGCATTATGGGAAAAAATCTAGCCAAAACGAAAGGAAGAGCCACTGCGCCCCAAAAACTGAAGTCGGTGCCTCTGCCACTGCCACTGCCTCAGTCGCAGTCAACGTTGCTGTTGATTCAACGATCTCACGTTTTTTTTTGTTGTTGTTGTTGTTGTTATTGTTGTTGCTGGGAGACTACCAGAGATGGAGAGCTCGTACGCTAACAACAGTTAGAAAACGTGGCTTTGGAACCTGTCTAAAAATAGCCACAACGAATGCAACCAAATACACGAATTATAAAGCCGAAGCTGAAGCCGAAGAAAAGCCGAATGAAAACGAAAATTCATCCGCCGGGTGCGCCGCCGCCACCGCCGCTTAAAAGACGAGTCTACCGGGTCTTCGTTTAAATCACCGAAGAATCGCAAAAAAAAAGCCCGACTTTGACTCTCACTCTCTGTGCTGCCGCTTCCAACCTAGCAGAGCTGTCGGCATCGCATCTTCGGGTTTTGTAGTCTTCTCCCGAGAGTAGATTTGTAATTTTTTTTTAAGTTTTTCTTTATTTTTTTTATTGTTGTTGTTGTTTACGAGCTGCAAAAGCCGGTGTCAATGGTAAAGTGCATTAATATTACCACTTTTCCTCCAGATGAAGGTGCCACAAAATGTTTGCCAAAATGATTTATTTTTTTTCGCCTTTTTTTTTGGGGGGCTCTGGGTTCAGGTAAGAGTGATCTTGTTTATGATGTGCCAGGTTGGCAGGATGATATTTTGTTGGCTAAAAAAAACGCTAAAAAATAAAAAAAAACGTTAAGGGCCAGTTATTATAAAATTGGCTTGAGATTTGGTGTGAAATGGATTTGACAAGGAAATTGAAAGGGGGCCTGAAAATGCTATACTTTCATGCTGGCAGAGAGAAATAAGTTTTACAAAAATTATAAACCTGAGACTGAATATAATTAAAGGCTTTTATAATTTAGTAAATAAATTAAGTCGGAAATTTTAGTTAAAAGAAAGTTTTTGGAAAGAAAACCCTATTTAATTATTTAATGCATTTTTTAAATAAATTCTTTAAAACCCCCAACAAGAATATTTCTATCTATAAACTCTATTATCCCACATTTACTTTAAAATCAAGTACAGTAATTATTATAATTTTGCCAGAAAATTCGCGGAAAACGCACAGTTTTCTTTTGGGCCGCCCTTGCAGGATAACAGTTTCAACGAACACCCACATAAGAAACATTCTACAAAAACAGATTCCCTGAAATCTGGTGGATACTTCCGCGAATCTGCCCACACGGCGATATCCTGTGGAGTAAGTCCTGGTCGCTCCTCCGTGTGAAATGATATGCACAGAGATGCCCACACAGAAAAAAGAGGCGGGTTGGGGGCTGGGGCGACTAGTGGGCGGTATGCGGTTGTGCCAGTGGGAGGTGTGAGGTGAGACCACCGCTGAGCAGGTGGAAAAGGAAGAGAATAAATCTCAACAATGTGGAAAAGAGACGGCCAATGTCTGTTTTATGACGCAAATAATTTCCGTTTTCGTTTTCATTTTCCCTTTCGCTCGGGAAATGTCCTACTGCACTGTTTTCACCACAGAGGGGGAGGGGCGGAAGGGGAGCACGAAAGCAAAGCAATTTTCCGACGCAGGCGCTCTAACAACGACGTCATCGATTTTCCTCGCACGAGCTGACTTTATAGTTGTTGTTGCCATGGCTGCAATGACGTAATAGCCAGGCGGCTAAGCCAAAAAGGTAGGTCGTGTCCCGTTTCCTCCCGAATCCCGTCGCTGTGTCCCCCTCGCACACTGTCACTCTCACTCTCGCTCTCTCTCTCTCTCTCTCTCTCTGGCTTAGTGGCAAAAATAAAAACAAAAAATAAACTGAACCGAGAGCGAAGCAAACGGCGACGCCACAGCGCTGCTTTTGTGAGCACGGCGACGCTTTGAATATAGTCGCGTGTAACCGTAAAGATAAGTTCAGTCGCGTCACAGACGCCGCATTGTTAACAACTTTACCCAGCAGCCCAGCCAAGGCTCAATCGTACAAGAAACTAAATCCAAATATTCACAATTTTCCAAACTAAACAATTCTACATCATCTTCGCTAGCTCTTTCCCTCCAAACTAAAATAAAATAATAAAAAATTCTAATTAAATATCGCGTTCAGTATTAAATAAAAGAAATCCCCGAGTGTTAAACAATTGCAACAAGTTGTTGTTGCTTATTGATTCTATGCGGAAACGGAAGCCGGTTGACAACACTGCGTATGTGTAATATTTGTTCTCGACTTCGTCTGTGAGCCTTTTGAGAGACATAACAAGTAAAGATTATATATTTTTGTGGAAAATTCCGATTTTGGAAAACTTTTATGAGAAAATTATTTTGAGAAAAAACAAAAAGTAAGGATTTGTACCATCACGTGCTGAAGATAGAACAATAATAATAATTTTTGTGGTGCTCGCGAGTGAAAGTTGGTGCGTGTGCGTGTGTTTAAGTTTAAGAAACGTCCTTGTGCCTCCTACTACTACTACTACAACATCTATTTATATATATACACAAGAAATATATACTAGAACGTGCGTAAATCATTACGTCCTCAGTTTCGCTTACGTCCTTATTTCCTTTCTGCGCAAACTCCAAGCCGAAAATCCTGAAAAAAAATCGGAAAAAAAACTTTCAGCAAGTTCAAGTCTAAGGACACACAACAACACAAAACAGCTGAGGCAAGGACATGCTAGGCGAAATGAAGCCTGATTATAGAAGCCATCATAGAAGTCACCAGGAAGGACACTCCACCGACCAGAACCATTAGAAAGGAAGAAAGCAAAAAACGAAAAGAATATTTCTATTGCCGCCGTGCTGGATCACAAGCGCCGTTCAGGGCGCCGAACAGGTGTGTTACCTGTCTTTGTGTTATAACTTTGTGTTGTGTGTCGTGTTGTGTTCTTTGTTTGCTTGACTGTCCTTCATATAGTATAAGAATATTATATTTTGGGTCTATAATGCGCGATCGCCTTGCCTCACTGATTGTGGTGAAGCAAGAAGGCGGCAACAATCATCGGGAGGCAATCGAACTGCTGCAGCCGGCCATCAAGTGTGAAGCTTCACTGCACTACGAGAGCAGTCTGTATCACGAGATCAATAACAATTCCTGCTATAGACCAAACCTAAACACACACCCACAAACACACCAGCCACTGCAACACCTGCCACACCACCAGCAGCCACATCTACAGCAGCAGCAACTCCAGCCACATTCATTGCCACCGCCCTTGCCACCATTGATTTATCCTTGCCGCAATCTCTTTCCCGACGGTTGCGATATCACTCACCTGGCCTGCTGCAGTTCCTCCATCGACTCCCCCACCAACCCCACCGGCAATCACACCGCATTTTTTGCCAATGGAAATACGTGTATGTATTTTTTCTTTTAATTTTTTTTATTTGCATATTTTTATTAGTGTTTTAAGTTGTTTTTTTATATATTTTTTTCGAGTTTTTCTTTCTAATTTGCTAATCACATACGTATACCCGGCGTATACGCAATATGTGGCGCCCATTGCCAAATCTCTCAAGAAGCGGCAGCATTCCGTTAACTGTTTACCGTTTGACGTTTGCCTAATCCGCCCGAGGGCTGGCCAAGACAAAAACAAGGGGGGCGTGGCTCGGGGGCCAGACAACGCACAATGACGACATAAATTTTTTTGCATGAAGTGTGCTTCCAGCGCATCATAAAAATTGTGAAAATTAAAAACAAAAAATAGATACAAAAATGTATATAAGAAAAAATATGTACAATTATGTTTGAAATGGTAGATGGGTTTTTGATTTTTTTGAAGGGGAATTAGTTAATTAGTTAGGGATGAGTTTTTATACTTTTTTCAAGTACAATTGTTAAAATAAAATCAATATTTTACTTTCATTTTAACTAAATAGCCTTTTTGTTAAACTTTATTTTAACAAAACATAAAACCTCATTTCTTTTAACAAAAAGCCTACCATTTCGACCTTAGTTACTGCATTATTGTGTGCAGAATTATGCATAATACCTGTGCGAGTGTGTATATTGGTCTTCTTCTCTGTCGACCTGTTGTTGCTTTTGTTGTTGTTTTATTGATATTTTGCTGTTGTTGTTGTTGGTGTACACATGTTTACCAGCGTCAGCAAAGCGGCGCAGTGGCAGCAGACGGCAGCGGACGCAGCCTGACGCAAAATGATTTATAAGCTGCACAATAAACACTGCAAATACCCATACCCAGACGCACACATGTACACACCTACCCATAAAGAAAGAAAAAAAACGAGGGAAACACACACATAGATACATAGATATACACTCTTTTATTTCTAGGGATACCCGCCAATGCATTTTTATTAATAACATTCAATAACAAAATAAAAACCCCATCGAATTAAGCACAAAACCGACTAAGAGGAAGATCGATGGTGGCATTGACATAGCCGTAAGCCGTTTTCTGTACAAAAAGGGGCCCAGAAGCATGCATGGGTGTTGTGGGAGAATCAGTCTCCAAGGGGGTAAGGCGGCATGGCAGGGTCCGTTTTAGTGAGCCCGGTTAATCGCTGCTGGTGTGGAATTGGTAACGGCTTGAAAGGCTTTGCCAATTCATTTGTTGTGGCCAAAATCGGTTACCGAGTTGTTAGCCGCTTCTTAAGCCGGCCAGTAGTTGGCCATTTAATACGGTGTGGTTAGTTTTATAACTAAAAGGTAGTTCGTTTTTCACCTAAACCTAATAGCAATAGGAATTAGCATAGGTTTTCAGCGTTTAAGCCTTTTTTTCCCCTGAGAACTAATCCCATTATTATTACCAAATAACCCCATCAACCCTTTAAAAATAGACGCTAAATAATGGCCAATTGGCGCCAAAAAACAAAGCCAAAATAACAATTTTCAGAACATATGACCAGGTGAGGTGCATACATTACGTATACGTAATACTCGGCCGAGAAGGAAACTACATATATGACGCCAGGGTGGCCATGAGCTTGAATCCAATACACTGTAGACAGTTTAACGGATTATATAGTATAGCCACCAAGTATATAGTATTCCAGGGCACGAGTGCAGAAAACGTCATCAAAATTAGCCAACCATTCCTGAGATGACGAAATTTTATTTTTGTTTTTAAAATGCAACTGCGTCAGTTGCCTCTTCGCGCTCTCTCGCTGTCTATATATATCATAATTAGATCAGAATATCTGAATATGTTATATTATTTATTATTATTTTTGTTTTTGTAGTTTTTTTTTGTCTTATTGGCCACGTGCTAATGACGCTATTGCAGTTTGAGAGCAAAGCAGATGAGTTGGCCAAAATGCTTTTAAAATAATCGCTAGTCATCCTCTGAGCATTTATTTATTTCTTTTAGTCTTTTTTGGTTATTTTTTTGGCTTTGTTTTTATTTTTTATACACTGTAGGGCGTGTGAAAATATTGTTTCTACTTCCCCTTTTACTCTTTCATTTGATTTGATTGCTCATACGCCCCGTTGCCCGTTGAACATGGCAACATCTCCTGGGCGTAGCCAATTGCATTTCAACATGGCCCAAAGCGAATATAAGACATTCGTCTTAACCACATACTGTATAAAGTTGTTTAATGCAGTTTTTTTTCTATCCTTTTTTTGATAAACTTTCCTGACTGACTGACTGAATGATCATTATGATCGTCGGCAGTGTTTCCCTCTCTGATTAAACTAACAGCAAAATGAGCTTGATAAATGATGCAAAAATATAAAATACTCACATATCTATGACAACCGAAAAAGATACATATACCTGGTACAGCCTAGGCTACTCCTATTGTATAGCTATTCACGATCCGTCGGGTGCGTTGTGAGTTATCTCCGAGGCAGCTGTCGGGATGGCCATTGTTGATTGTTGCCGCTTTTGGCCATTGCTCATGGAGATACCCTATACTCTATACCCAAAAAAAATAAATAAAAATAAAAATATAATTCCCCCTCGTCTATGGTATCTTAACTCTATCTCAAAACTCCGACGGCTGCCAAGACCAGTAGTCGCCATCCAAGAGTTTCTTTGTTTTTGTGTTTTTACGTAAAATATATATACATTTTTGGCTGCACGTTGCTCAGAGGCACAGGTGTATACAAAGGCGTTAGCTTTGTAGCCTACTAACATGGTTAGGATGTAAACATTTTTCCATGTCCAACAAATCATTGTTCTTGGGGCTTGTAATGATCAATTGGATGGGTGTTTATTATTATAAGAATATAACTTCCAATGCTTCTTTTTTTGAGCCTTTACTAACACAACTTTTGAAATACGTCAGCAATTTACTTAAATATACTTATCCCCATTTCGTTGCCATAATTTTAAACAAATACTTCTTAGCTTTTCTCTTTATGGGCTTAACTCACTCTAATCTTAATCTTAAAACCCATCTCCAACCTATCTCAACATACACTTGAAATCATCTTGTCTGGCCGTTTTGTTGCCCATTTTCGCACTATGCGAATAACTAAAGACCACAAAAAAGTGAATTTGTTAATTTGTGTTTTTTTGTGTTTGGGGATTTTTTATTTATTTTTGTCTAGAGACCCGCGTCTGGACAGATGGATGGATGGATAGAGGAAACTCTTGAGATATTAGCGTCTCTGGGGGACTGCTCTGCGACTGCTTAATTATTTGTGTTGATTTATGCGAATTTTATAACGAAATGTAGAGTCAGGGGTGTTGCCATTATTGTCTTCTTCGCTGATCGATGGCCGAGTCATCAGCAAGCCACAGACTATAGTCCATGGACCAGCATTAGTTCCAGTTCCCCCTCGTTTTCGAATTTTTTTTTATCAAGACAATACAAATCAAGGGGCTAGCCCACCTCAATTACGTAATAATTATGGTTTGCCTGGATTAATTGTATTTATTATATTGATTGTGAGCATGTTTCGTTATTAATCGACTTGTATTCGTTCAATCACTGTGCTACTCTTCAATTGGTTCACACGATCCCATCTACAAAAAAAAACATTAAAAAATAAAAGTAAAAATAAATACGGAAAGCGTAAATTCCTTGCAAACTGTTTTCTCTTCTGCTTCGGCTTCTGCATTGTTCAAATTATTTCTAATTTCGTTTGTTTTATTTTAAATTTAAACAATTGCCGCGTAATTAGCCAGCTTCTTTTTATTTATTTCCAACATGTCTCAGACCCCCTTTTCACTTTTCACTTCGATTTTGTCAACAGGTCGATGCCCAATTCGAAGGTATTTCTATCTAAAATCGGGAATAGAACTCGTCGCAGGTCATCGAAATTATTTCAAGTCTCTTTCCGCATTGTTTGTGTTTAATTGAGGGATTTTTTAATAGGTTTTGGATTCTTCTTTCTATAAAGGTTTGGTGTAGGATTTTGAAAAAGTTTTTAATAAGAGTGTTTTTTCAGCCTAAGGTATTGACTTCTTTGAAAAGTGGTTCTTTGGAACATATTGTTTTATAACAAATTTATAGGAATATATAATTTAAATATTTTTAGGTATTTCCTAGTCGATTTCCTGCATTTTTTGTGCAACATTCTTCAGCCACGTTTGTTTTGATTTCGATTTCTTAGCAATTTCCTTTCCCTTTTGGGGGCAATGGCCACAAATCACGAGGCGTTTGAGGATGTCACACCAGTGGCATCCAACAAGAACATGTAGACAGTCAGCCAAGTTAGGCTAAGCATCACCAGCACCACAACCACCACCACCAGCACCACCACCATCATCATTATCATCCGAAAATCAGCGGTATATGGGGGAATGCATTGGCAAGGCGTCGCCAGAGTTCATCCAACATTGGACATCGGACAGCAGGTTTTTCCTTTAGACAAAGTTTTTCCTACCAACCGCCCACCCTTCCCTCTTCCACTCCCCTCTGCTAGCTGTTTCTGATATTTTGGTTACTTTGTTGTTGTTTGTTGGACAATTTCGAGTGGCAGGCTGCTGGCGGCATACTCGCATATGTAAACCTTAATTTGAAACTGATTGGATTGCCTGGCCGTTGGCCTCTTGTATGTGTTTTTCTTGTGAATTTTTTGGTTATTTCTTAATTTTGCCATGCACTTGATGAGCTTGATGGCTTTGATTTGATTTTTGAGGTTTTTCGTTAGAGATTTCCGTTTAATTGCCTTGAATCCGTTCGTCTTCAAACTCAGAAGTTTTAAGCAATTTGTAAAAGTTAGCTAATGATGCATCGACTAATTCCTATTTGAAATGCATATAAAAGATTTTACAATGCAGTGTTAATATTTTGTAACACCACTTATACCATCTCTATAAAAAAAAATGTAAAACCATTCAAATCATTCAGGCTGTAATTAAATGCAACTAAAAAACATTACACAACTCTTGACAAATTTCAGCGAGAACAGGCCCGGCCATAAATTCCAATCAAAACAAGAA